GAAATAAGGAGGATGCGTGAGAGAGGCTTTTAGGAAAGGTGGCACTCTTGCCAGGCGATGAAGAAAGAAGGGATTGGATCTGGAAAACAAGGAAGAGGAACTGCATAGACCTGTGATCTATGACGGTGACCTGCCTGGGTGCTTGTAAGAAATGCAGAATCTTGGACCCCATTCCTGGGCCTGCTGAATCAGAACATGCATTTTTAACAAGATGCCCAGGTGATTTGTAGGCACAGTAAGAAACAAAAGTGGCCAGTTTGCTCAGTGGTTAGAGAGTCCCTGAGGATCGAAGGGCCTTCGGTTTGATTCCCTATCAAGGGCATATATCTGGATTGCAGGTTCTCCCTGGCACTGGGCCAGGTGTGGTGCATGCAGGAGGCAACCAATAGCTGTGTCTCTCTCACATGGATGTTTATCTCTCTCTCTCTCTCTCCTCCCTTCCACTCTTTCTAAAAATCAGTGGAGCCCTAACCAGTTTGGCTGTGGATACAGCATCAGCCTGAAGACTGAAGGGTCCCAGGTTCAATTTCGGTTAAGGGCATGTACCTTGGTTGTGGGCACATCCCCAGTGGGGGGTGTGCAGGAGGCAGCTGATTGATGTTTCTCTCTCATCGATGTTTCTAACTCTCTATCCCTCTCCTTCCTTCTTCTCTGTAAAAAAACAAACAAACAAACAACAACAAAAAAACACACACACAAACTCAATAAAAAATATATTTAATAAAATAAAAATCAATGGAGAAAATACCCTCAGGTGAGGAGAATGGGACCCATGTGCCAGAGCGGCTTGCCTGCAGTGAGAACCCAGACAGGTCCAGCCACCCCTCGTCACACAGTTCTCTATGGTTGCAGAACAAGGGCTCCTCAACCTTAGGGCGCAGTCAGATAACCTAGGAGCTTCCATGGCCAGGCCGCCTCCTGAGGGGCCACCATCCAGGCTGCAGGGCTTTCTATTCTAACAGGCAGTCAGCGTTGGAAACCTCTGTTGCAGTGGTTGGGTCCTCCGTCTGTCCATGTCCCGCTCAAGGTCGGAGTGAGCTCTGTCTCTAGCTGTCGCCATTAAAAACACAAAATTAATGTTCTCTGGAACTAACCAGAACCACCATTCAGCCTCCTTTTCAAACTAGAGAATAAAGATTTGGTTTTAGAAAAAGAAGAAAAAAAACACAAAACCACAAAATCGAGTTCCAGTCGCAGGCTTGCTGTTTCCACATCTTGATTCCCAAAACTGTTGCAAGGAGAACCGGAGAGGTGCTCCTCCTGAAGTCCTCGGGTGTTTTTGAAGTCGTCAGGTGAACTTTTGGAAATCAGGTTAGGGATGCCAGTGGCAGAAACCTAGTTCTGGCATTTTCCCTGAGCCCAGGAATGGGTGACTGGGCTTTTCTGCAGACAGCTCGGGCGGGTTGGTGCTCTGGTCTGTGTGTGTGTTGAACTGATGCTTTGTAGGTGCCAGACATGTAGAGGTGGAGAGGACTGACTGTCCTTGCTATCTGAAGTTAATAAGAGGGTGTTTCAAAGAGGAGGTGTGCTCTCACTCCTCCTTCCAGGCAGAGGTGCACTTGGGCAGGTGGAAAGCAGAAGAAGGGGATGTCAAGGAGAGAGCTTTCTGGAATGTCCCCCAGGATGTTTGGGGGGACAGTGTAGAGAGAAAGCAACTCAAGTGCACTGGGACACATCACCTTTGGGGGAACAGAGGGGCGGGATGGGAGGTGGGAAGGGGATAAGGCCAAGGAGTAGCAATAGCATCTTCAGTGACAAAGTAACAGTATAATTTATTTTTTATATTTTAAAAAAGATTTTTTTATTGAATTCAGAGAGGAAGAGAGCGGGCTAGAGAGCTACAATAGAAATCCAATGATGACAATCATTGATTGGCTGCTTCCTGCACGCCCCACACTGAGGATTGAACCCACAACCCAGGCATGTGCCCTGACCGGGAATTGAACCGTGACCTCCTGGTTCAGAGCCGTGTCGGCTGGGCTATTCTGTGCATTTTTAAGAGGAAAAAAAAGGGGCAATGTGATTGTTGAGTAGAAGAAAGACTCTCAGGGAGAAGGTGAGCATCTTCTTGACCAAAACATTTGACCTTGTTCTTTCGTCTCTTCCTTGCAAGTCCTTATGCTGTAGAATGTTTAGAAAATCTTTGGATCAGTATGACACAGACTTGGATCTGCTATAATTTAAATGGTGTTCACCAGGTGGAGCTCCCCATTTAAAAAGTTAGTGGCACTTTGGTGAGTCTCTGACAAGTGTCTGCGTGGTCTCTGCTCCAGCCCCTGTGTTTTAGGTCTTCACCTGCCAGGTCTCCTCTAACCAGACCTCCCATCCTGTGTCCATTCCAGCCCTCCAGGCCCCACCAGGTGCCCGGTTAACTGATGTCAAATGAGGATACTGAATCAGAACATTAAATATTGATAATGCAAAGTACTCATGCAATTGTGTCCAAAGGGAAGCTGGCAAAGGAAACCATTTTCAACTCCATTAGTAACCAAAAGAATGCAAATGCAATATGATTTTCAGTTCCAGAACAAAGGTGAAAAAATGGCAATGCTAGAGTTTGAGAGACTTTGGAGAAATGTGAAGTGACCTAGACGCTGGTGGAAGTGTAAATTGGCACAATTTCTGGAGGACAGTTTGGCAATGTATGCCATATACTTAGAAATATGCAGACAGCATTTTACCTCTTAGAGCTTATTCTAAGGAAATTATTGGGCAGGGGCCAAGGACATTCAAACCAATCTATCTATACTAATAAAAGGGTAATATGCAAGTTGGCCACGACACCCTCACAGTAACAACCGAACAGCAAGCTACGTGAGGCAACCAGGCTGGCAGGGGGGTTAGCAAGGGACAACCAAATGACTGACCAGCAGGCTGTGTGGGATGACCAGGCCAGCAGATAGGGCAGTTGGGGGCGACCAGGCCAGTGTGGGGGGGACAGCTGGGGGTGATTAGGCCAGCAGGGGAGGCATTGAGGGGCGACCAGGCTGGCAGAGGGGGACAGTGAGGGGCAACCAGGCTGGCGGGGGTGTCAATTGGGGGCAACCAGGTCAGCAGGGCAGCAGTTGGGGGCAACCAGGCTGGCAGAAGGGGCAGTGAGGGGTGACCAGGTCAGCAGGGGGAACAGTGAGGGGCAACCAGGCTGGCAGCTGGGAGACAGTAATGGGAGACCAAGCCAGCAGGGGGAGGAGTTGTGAGTGACCAGGCTGGCAAGGGCGGGGGGGCAGTTATGGGCGACCAAGCCAATGGGGTTGGGGGGAGAGTTGGGGATGACCAGGCTGGTAGAAGGGGCAGTTGGGGGTGACCAAGCTGGCAGGGAGGCGGGGGGTGGGGGGGACACAGTTGGGGGCTACCAGGCTGGCAGGGGGGGGACAGTTAGAAGCAATCAGGCTGACAGGCAGATGCAGTTACGGGTGATCTGGCTGGCAGTTAGGGGCAATCAGGCAGGCAGGTTAAGGTTAGGTGAGCAGTTAGGAGCCAGCAGTCCTGGATTGTGAGAGGAATGTCTGACTGCTGCATCCAGAGAGGGTCCAAGCTGGGCTTAGGGGACCCCTCAATGCATGAATTTTGTGCACTGGGCCTCTAGTTTATAATAAAGAATAATTAGAGAGAATCTAAATAAATGTCCACCAAGTGAGGATTATTCATATCAATTATGGTCCATTCATACAACAGAGTACCAAAGATCCTTTAAAATGATATCAATTTAATAAACACTAGAGGATGTCCATGAGATATCATCCCCCAGGTGTCCACAATGTAAAATTGTATGTGCACACATGTGTGTTCATGCACACAGAGGTCTACAAGGATAGTCATCACAATGTCAACCATGGTGTCTTCTGGTTGGGAGAGCTTTGAATGGCTTTACCTCCTTATTTTTATTGTTTCTAACATTTTGAAAGCAATGTGTCCTGACCTGGAATCGAACTGTGTCCTCCTGTTAAGAGGTCAAGGCTCAACCACTGAGCCACGCTAGCCAGGCAGGTTGGTCATCTTTAAAACATCAAAACCCAAATTCCCATGGGGGTTAAAGTTGTTTCCGTCTGTCTGTATCTGGACTGGAACCACACGTTTTAATGACTGAAGCTTTTTAGAAATTTTTCTGTCTACTGGAATGCCCCATCCCCATTCTTCTCCTTTTACAGACTTCCCCCACCGTCCTCAGACGGTGCCTTTTTCAGGGGAACTTTAGAATTAGGCAGCCATGGTCCACAAACTCTCCCTTGGGGTTGATTGGAATAGCTGGAAGCTCCCCACTAATTTGGGGCTGACTTCTTACAGAGCTGGGCCTTGCTCTCCAGGGGCGATCAGGTGCTGCCCTCTGCAGGGAGGCCCAGGCAGGTGCTATCTGTGTCCGGGCCTTCCCACTCGGCCCTCCCCACCCAGCCTGATTCCAAGGCTTCTAGAAAGGACAACTTCTTACACATCCGTGGTTTAACGTCTTTCCTTCCCCAGCTGACATTTGGATTTTAACCTGAACATTCAGGATAAAGATCCAGGGCACATGCTTGGGAACCACAGGTCCTGCAGTAGAACCCGTCAGGAAGTGCTCCCAGCAACCTCACCCCATAAGGCAGACACTGCACGCACGAGCCCCAGGTTACCGGGTTCCAATGGAAGCTTGAACAGCTTTGTTGTTCCAGAACACCTCAAAGGTCCCTCGTTGTAGGTGTGCAGTTGAAGGCTTTTTGGTACATGTGCGAAGTGGTGCCACCATCACCAGCTCCAGCTCCAGAGCATGCCCACCACCCCTGCGAAAGGTCCCTTGTGCCCGTTGGTGGTCGCCCTCTGGATGCCACTCTGCCCTGAGCACAGCCCCACGAGGAGTGCGGACAGAGGGAAAGGTCCCTGAGCGATCCCCCGCCTGTGAGTCAGGAGCCAACGCCCCAACGCCGTGCACGGAACAACTTGCAGGGCAGCACCCTCTCCTGAGGAGACCCAGCGAGGGGCCCCCCGAGGACGCCGGCCCCACTGAGCTCCATCCTCCCCCCTTCCAGGTGGATAAAGTTTGAAGAAAAGGTGGAGGAAGGAGGCGAACGCTGGAGCAAGCCCCACGTGGCCACGCTGTCCCTGCACAGCCTCTTCGAGCTCCGCACCTGCCTGCAGACGGGAACGGTGCTGCTCGATTTGGACAGCGGCTCCTTACCGCAGATCATAGGTGAGTGGGGACCACGGAGGGCCCTCCAAACCCAGGGCCGCTCTCCCCCCTCCCGCCTCCTGCCCAGCCCCAGGCCATTCTCACCTCTGACGCTGCCTGCGGCCCCGAGGTCCAGTCCCCCGTGGAGTCCCAGCGGAGGAAAAGAGCATCCTCTGAGGTGCAGTGTGGCCACCGGGAGAGGGCTTCTTCGTGCGGTTGCAGACACCTGTGGCCGCGGCAAGCTGGGTCCCGCAGGGTGAACGGACCATCGTTCCTCTTTAGGAGATCAGCTCCCGTTTTGCGGGGCGGCAGAGGGAGGGGGGCGGCTTGCCTTGTCATCGCTCAGACTTTTTGTGAATTTTGTTCTAGCAACACTCAATGTTGCCAGAAGCATTCTGCCCAAAATACTTTCCTAAAGAGAACTCATGTGAGGACTGAGATCCTTTACCATGGTGCCTTTGTGCTTTTCAGGGTATTTCCATATGTCTGATTACATTTACTTTAAAAATATATATCCTAAAGTTGATTTTTGAGAGAGAGAGAAAGGAAGAGAGAGAGAGAAAAAGAGAGAAACATTGATGTGAGAGCGAAACATCAGAGGTCTGCCTCCTGCAGGCTCCCTACCGGGGATCCACCCACAGCCCCGCCTGAGCCCTGGCTGGGAATCCCACCGGCAACCTTTCGGTGCACCGCACACAGGATGCCACCAGCCAACTGAGCCACACCGGCCAGGGCTGGCTTCACTGACTTTTGACATAGGATTGATAGAGCAGAGGATTCTACTCACATGCACACATGCCCACACGCGTGCACGCACATGCACACTCACGAACATGGGGGAGGCTGAGGGTTTGTGATGAGCCCGAGTTTGTGGGTACAGGCGGGACTGTGTCCGCATCCTGCCTCCTTCAGCTCACTGTTAATCCCACAAATGACAGATGAAACGGAGGACCCTCCACCCTGCTCATTCTGTCCGGTTCTGGACGGACGAGGCGTGTTTGTTCCCTTAGATGACGTCATCGAGAAGCAAATCGAGGACGGCCTGCTGCGGCCGGAGCTCCGGGAGAGGGTCAGCTACGTCCTCCTGCGGAAACACCGGCACCAGACCAAGAAGCCCATCCACCGCTCCCTGGTGGACATCGGGAAGTCCGTCTCCTCCCCCACCAGTGAGTGGGGCCGTGCTGGGCGCCCCGGCACGGGGGAGGGGCTGGTGCCGGCCCTGGTGCCAGCTGATCCGGGTCAGCGAGAGCCTGGGCACCTGGGAAGCTTCCTGCCCTTCACAAAGCCGAAACGTTCTGGGGGTTCCTTACCCTCCTTCTCTAGCAGCCTGCAGGAACCCCAGCCTCACCCCGGTTTGTCCCCACCCACAGCGTTTCTAGGAAGAGAGCTGATTCTCAGCCTGGGCTGGGCCTTTTGATCCCGGGGGTGGAGGTGGGAGTGGGTGGTGTGCAGGGGCTGAGGGGACATGGCATGGGTCCTCACGCCTCGGCCCCACCCTGGGGAGTGGCCTGGAAACGGGGCTTTGGAACGCTCTCGTGTGCAGCCGGGGTTGTAAAAGGCTGTAGAGATGGCGTGTTTATGGTAAGCGCTTAAAGTTCTCCCCACTGAGCCCCCCAAGAACAGCCAGGAGCCCCGAGAGAAGGTGGCCCACATTGAGATGGTGGAAGGGGCTGGGCCATCTCAGGTGCCAGGCCCTGTAACCCTGGCAGCTGGTCATTCTGATTAGCAGAGACGGGGTGGGGTGGAGGGGGGGAGGCGGGGGAGCATTGGGGAGAGTAACTTGTTCCATTCACACATCTCAAACCTGCCACCTCCTTCTTGACCTCCCCGAGTTGAGATGCCCAGACACTACTAGCCTTGCTGGACCTGCCGGAGAAATGCAGTCCGCAGAACCAGTGAGCCTTGAGGAATTTCTTTAGGAACTGTCTGAAATGGGGGCCAGGGGGGAGGATGTTTAGCGTATCCTAATAGCGGCAGGCACACACGCGGCACCTGCCGTGTTCCAGCACTGAAGCGTGACTCACACCTCACCATCACCCGTGACTAGCTACTGTTCTCATCCTCCCCATCGGACACATGAGAGGCCTGGGGCACAGAGAGGTTAAGTTACTTGCCTAAGGTCACACAGCCGAGCCAGAGGTGCCATCCGGGGTAAAGCCAGGCCTTCTACAACACCTGTGCCTATTTGAGGACTTGGTCATCTGTCTCGCGTTCAACAGTACAAATATTTAATCTTGTTCAGACTGTTAACTTGCTTCCAAAAAAAAAAATAAAGACCAAAAACAAACAAACCCCCAAAACAAGAACAAAAAGCAGCACTGCCAAACACACCCTCTTTCCTGGAAGGAGGAAGGACAGGGCTTGTAGCCCAGCTCTGTCGAGGAGAAGTGACAGTACACCTAGTGCCGCGCGGACGGGGCGGCAAACCCCCTCTCTCCTCCTCCTCCCAGGCCGCAGCCTCGCCCGGAGCCCCCCGGCCGGCCCCAGCCTGCACCGCTCCACCCAGGACCTGCGGCTGCAGCCGAGCGTGAGCTACGGCCACCTGTGTGAGTGTGTCCCCCTCCTCCCTGAAATCAGTGGGAAAAGACTCACCTGGGTCATGGAGGATGGAGGTGAAACCCGTCTTCTCTCTCCAACAAAGCCCAAGCTGAGCGACGCCTCCCCGCCCCCAGGGTCTGGCACAGAACAGACATCTGTCTCTGCCCAGGAAAGGCGGGTGAGGGTAGAGACCAGAGTACAGCGGGCGGAGTAGCGAGAAGGGAGAGCCTGGGGTCTGGCAGCTCTTCTAGGAGCGCCGCCAGCCCTGGCTGAGCAGCTCATTTGGTTAGGGCGTCGTCCCAATAGGCCAACATGTTGGGTTCGTCCCCGGTCAGGGCACATGCAAGAATCAACTGCTGACTGCGTGCGTAAGTGGGACAGCAAACCCATTAATAAAATAAACTAAAATCTGAAAAGGGAGAGAGCTGCCGCTGGAGGGAAGAAAAGAGAGCGGAGGCCAGCTCGGGGGGCTGCAGCGTGAGGGGAGAGGGGCTCTTCCTTTGCTGAGCCCGGCTTCCCCTCATGGACCTTCTTTTCCTTCTCTCCCAGGTCACGTCCAGAGCAGAAGCATGAGTGACATTCCTCGCACCCAAAACCCAGACCAGGTAGTAAAGCCCTCGGCCTGGGCTGCCGGGAGGGGCCGGGCGGGAAGAAAGGAGCCTTTGGCTCCAGGGGCAGGGAGTCCCTGTGGGCAGGGCTCCACGCCCATGAAGGAGCGGGAGTCTCCAGGAAGGACATGGGAGTGTGTGTGTGTGTGTGTGTGTGCGCGTGTGTGTGTGTGCGCGCTCTGGGCGGCCTGGTGATTCTGCCCATGCCATCATGTGGGTGTTGACTGAGCCCCAAGTACTGGCTCTGTGCCTGGCCCTGGGAGGGGTTGCCTCTGAGCTTGGGATTTGTTGGGGAGAGACCAGCACGCAGTTAGTTCCACCTGCCATATGGCACACAAGTACCTCTAAAGATGGAGTGGGTATGGGCTGGTAGACTTGCAGTGGGGCCTCCCTGGGGGGACAGCAGGGGTAGCGAATCATTGGGACCACCCAACAGCGTGTCTCCTCCATGCTGGGCAGGATGGAGGCAGGCCGTCTCCCACCAGCCTGACTGACATCTCCTGATATTTCCTGCAACAGGTTGAGTCCATGTTCTAAGGCCCACAGTCCAGGAACCCTGTGGGGAAGCCCCCTTTGGGGAAGCCCAGAGGAACCCCCTCAATTCCAACCCCTGCACCCCTCCAGGGCAGAGTCTCAGGGTCCCCTTGCCTGTGCCCCCAGGAGCAGGGAGAAAGGTGATGAAAGAGACCTGGAATTTGGTGAAGACTTCTCAGGAACCCCGGGCGAAAGCCTAGCCTTCAGGGCACCCCGAGTTTGGTAGCCGGCAAAACAAAAGCAGCCCCTCCCGTCAGTATCACGAGGACCGTGCGGTGGCCAAATATTAAAATAGCAACGACAAGAGCATCAGCCAGCACTTAAACCCACACACTGCCCGCACCGCCACGCATGCATCTGAAGGTGCTATACTATCTCCAGTCTCCCGGGGAGGGCGTTGAACCTTAAAGCAGTTGAATCACGTGCCCACGTCCATGCAGGAGAACCGTGACTTGACCCAGACGGTCTGCCAAGAGCCCTTCATCTGGCAGTGACCGAGCACTGAGTATTCTGGGATGTTATTTAGAGAAGATCCCCACTAGAGCACACAGACAGCGGGGCCAAGATAAGGGGGCGCTGCCTAGTCAGGTTTTTTTTGTTTTTTTTTTTTAAATATATTTTATTGATTTTTTATAGAGAGGAAGGGAGAGAGATAGAGAGCCAGAAACGTCTATGAGAGAGAAACATCGACCAGCCGCCTCCTGCACACCCCTCACCGGGGATGTGCCCGCAACCAAAGTATTATATGCCCTTGACCGGAATCGAACCCGGAACCTTTCAGTCTGCAGACCGACACTCTGCCACTGAGCCAAACCGATTTCAGCCTAGTCAGTTTTAATGTGTCGCAGTGGTGATAAGAATAGCAGCTGTCAGAGCGTCGGCTTGGGGACTGAAAGGTCCTGGGTTCGATTCCGGTCAAGGGCATGTACCTTGGTTGCGGGCATATCCCCAGAAGGGGGTGTGCAAGAGGCAGCTGATCGATGACTCTCTCATCGATGTTTCTAACTATCTCTCTCCCTTCCTCTCTGTACAAAATCAATAAAAAAATATTTTTAAAAAGAATAGCAGCTGTCACTTTCCTGGCAATGCTGCCTTGACTTAGGGACTGGAGCCACATTCCGCTCTCCTGACTGACCAGCTGAGACTGCTTCTCGGTACCATTTGCAGCTGCAAAGGCTTGTTGTGGGAATAGCGTTTTGTCCACCAGGGGGCGCTCTTTAGGCTCAAGCCCAGAGGCGTTGGCTCTGCAGGCTCTTTCTTCATGGCTCCACGCCTGTCCGTGGGATCCCGGTGAAGCAGAGGGTGGATTCAGACGCCATAGTTGTGTGTGGTCACTCAAGAGAGCCGGACCAGACTCCCTGTGGGTTCAGCAAGTAGAGTCAGCAAGGCTCTGGTCCAAACCATGGCCAAAGCCAGGGGGTCAGAGCGGCAGCATGCCGGTTTCTGGGATGTCCCCGCCCCAGCCGGCCTCTCTACCGAACCTGTCACCACCTGCCAGGGAGGACCACGGCCCGTTCCAGCTCCTCCCCTCCCCTGGATTCTGAGTGTGCTGTTGGGCTGCCCCCACGCCTGTTGCTTCCAAAGACTCCTTCTCCAGGGCACTCCTGCCACCCCTCCGCTCCTCCTGTCCCCTGGGCCTGCTCCCCGCCTAATGCTTGTGGGACCTGCTCCCTGTCTGATGCTTGTGGGCACAGAGCGGGCAGGGGGCTGCGGCTGCCTTGGCACACCCAGCCCTCCATCCTGAAGAACGCTGTTTATGAATCCGTCAGCCGACTGGCAGGGACAAAGGGACTTTCTGAATTGTGAGGACGCTGGCCTTCCCGCTAACTCCTGGCCTCACTTGTCCTCTCTGCGTTAGGGCCTTGGGGGCTGCTGCCTGGGTGGCTGTACAGAGTTTTCGTTTGGGGTTGGGTGTCAAAGATTCCAAGGGTGCAGCTCTGGCTCACGTGCCCTTTCTCATGCTGGTAGGCCACCCAGCCCAGTGTGCACCACACCCACCCTGGGTGTGAAGCGGGGACATTGAGCTTATGGGAAACAGACATGGCTGTGCCCACAGGAGAGACCTAGCAGAAATGGTGGCAAGCTTGTGGGGTCTGGAGGAGATCTCTCTAACTTCTGGGCCCTTACTCCCTTTGATGGCCACTGTGCACTTCCACCAGCCCTGCCCTTCCAGATGCTCCCCCCTCCACCATCTCTGTACAAAGCTGTCTCTGTCCCTGGCCCAGCCCCTTGCTGCCCAGGGGAAAGCGATCTGAAAAATGAGAGCATCCCAAGATGTGAGCTTGTATGGGTCCCTCCCTGGGCGTTTTCTTCGTAAAAGAGGGCCCAGAAGGAATGGCATCATGAACGCAGGCGGCAGGAATACGTTTGGGAAGAGGACTGTCTCCAGCATCTCTCCCCTCAGCCTCTTGCTCTGTTTGACCTCCTGCTCTGCACAGACACTGGCCAGAGGGGCTGGCGAGAGGGCACCTGGGAAGTCTCAGTTGTAAAGTCTCAGACGCTATGAGTTTCCTGGGAGGTCCCCTCGGGGTGACTTGGGGGCCCGGAAGTCTCCCACAGACTTGGAGGTATGGTTCAGGGGTTCCTGTGAGCCAGGGAGCGGTGGCAAAGGGAAAACACGGTGCATGGGCCTGGCCATCGGAAGGGGCCCCATCCCTTCCGCGGCCACCCAAGGTGAAGGCAGAGGGGGAGGGGTGGCAAGCTGCAGTGCAAGGCCGAGAGTCCCTCTGCTTGAGCCGCAGGGGCTGCGGGATGAGACGGGACACCCAGCAAGCCCTCAGCTCACACTTCGGTTGAGCTAAGTTTTTACTCAGCAAGGAATGTCTTAGGGATGAGTCGTTGCCTCCCCGTCTTCACAGGCTTAGCTGGTGCCTGGGGTTGAGTCTCCTCCCCTGCAGAAGCGGGGACAGTGGTCGTTTCTCTCTGAGACAGGCTGGGGAACTTTTCCAAGGTGGGGCTCCACAGCCATCTGAAGGGGATGCGGGAGAGCTGGAACCCCTGCAGGTGAGTAACCATGGCGCCTCGCTCCCCTCCTCGGCCAGCGGAAAAACAAGTTCATGAAGAAGATCCCCAAGGACTCAGAAGCCTCCAACGTGCTGGTGGGGGAGGTGGACTTCCTGGACCAGCCCTTCATCGCCTTCGTGCGGCTCGTCCAGTCGGCCATGCTGGGAGGGGTGACCGAGGTGCCCGTGCCCACCAGGTGAGGGCCGTTGAGATCTGCCCCCCACGACCGCCTTCAGGCCACTGGCTGTCCATGCAGGCAGCATGCGGGGCTGGTGAGGACAACCCTAAAGCAGAGAGGGACCACAGGGAATTGGCTGCGGAGGGAAGTCTTTTGACTCGGGAAGAGTTTTAGAGCGTTTATTTAAAGCAATCACTCGAAAGCAGGAGCCCACAGCTGGGAGAGATGCTGTTGGTGGCTCTGGGACACCAGAACGGAGGGAGGACGCTCGAGGAAGAGGTGTGGGAGTGAAGAGAAAATGTCTCTCCAAAGCAAACAGGGCATCAAAAGAGGGAAGGGACCCAGCTGCTGTGGCTCAGTGGTTGAGCATGGACTCATGAACCAGGGGGTTATGGTTCAATTCTTGGTCAAGGCACATACCCAGTAGGGGGTGTGCAAGAGACAGCTGATCAATGATTCTCTCTCACCAATGTTTCTCTGTCTCCCCCTCCCTTCCTCTCTCTGAATATCAATTTAAAAAATATGTTTTAAAGAAGGAATGGACACGTTTACAGCCAGTTAAAAAGTTAAGAATCGATACTGTTTGGAGCCAGAGAACCCTTCTCTTTATCTGCTTCTGTTTTTCCTTCTCACATCCCTCTTCCTCCTCCTCCATCTCTTTGCAGATTCCTGTTCATACTGCTGGGACCTTCTGGGAGAGCGAAGTCCTACAATGAGATTGGCCGAGCCATTGCCACCCTCATGGTAGATGATGTAAGTGGGAACGAGGAACGTATTCAAGCACTGAGCCTTCACTCATTCATTTAGCCAATAGGCACATTGAGTACCTTCTGTGTGCCAGGCTCTGTGTAGGTGCTGAGGACTATGAAGATGAGGGAATAGTCATCCTCAGAATAGTTGATGCCCTTTAGGAGCGTCAACTGGGTGGGGAGAAAGACCTATAATCCAGGAAGTCCCAGCAGGCTCCACACGTGAGGGGCTTTGAAGCTACGATGAGCAGGAGGAGGCAGGTAGACCCACTATGAGCCTGGGAGGCAGGCATTCCGGACAAAGGGACCGGGGGCCAGGGTTGGGAGATAGAGGAGCTGGATGGAAGTGGTTCTATGTAGGCTCAGTGTTAGAGCTTCAAGAGCAGGAGGTGTCTCAGAGAGAGTATCAGAGACCATGCTGAGTCTGTGGGCGGAGCCGAGCATGGGCTCTTCCAGGAGTGATGGGAGCCTACAGGCCTAACCACAGGCAGATCTTCAAGTCAGAATGAACACTCTGGAGACGTTGTGGAATGAAGCAGTGGTCGGCAGACTGCGGCTCGAGAGCCACATCCGGCTCTTTGGCCCCTTGAGTGTGGTGGCTCTTCCACAAAATACCATGGCCTGAGCAAGTCTATTTTGAAGAAGAGGCGTTAGGAGTTTAAGTTTAAAAAATGTGGCTCCCAAAAGAAATGCCAATCGTTGTACAGTTGGTATTTGGCTCTGTGGACTAATGAGTTTGCCGACCACTGGAATGAGGCAAGGATGAAAGGCTGGGGCGGTACAAACAGATTTGAAAGAGCTGAGCTTCTCGTGCGGGCTCTGCTCAGGTTTCCTAATGAGCGTGCTCGGCGCAAAACCGAAAGCAGAAAGGTTGCCACTCAACAGAAGTCCGGCAGCTGGACCGCGGAGACCAGGCCTTCATACCCAAGAGGGACCCGCGCCCTCGGGCTGCTGCTTCCCAGTGGCCTCGCAGCACCTGCCGGGTAGTTGTTCTCATTTCAAAATCCGAGAGCAAATTGGCCGCAGGAGCCACACGTGATCTCCTCCCGGCGAGCTCCCGGGAGGGGGGAACTCGGGGAAGCCGGCGGAGAGCTGACCGTCTCCTCCTCACGGCCAGCTCTTCAGCAGCGTGGCCTACAAGGCCCGCAGTCGGGAAGATCTGATCGCTGGCATCGACGAGTTTCTGGACGAGGTCATCGTCCTTCCCCCCGGAGAATGGGACCCCAATATCCGCATCGAGCCCCCCAAGAAGGTGCCCTCCGCAGACAAGAGGTGAGCACGTGAACGAAGCGGTGGCGAGGGCAGGGAGTGGTACAAAGGAAACTTCAAGTCTGGCCCTTTTTTTTTTTTTTTTTTTTTTTTTTTTTTTTTTGTCTCTTTTTGGATTTTAAAGAAAGATGTCAGCATATTGGGGTTTATACTCCCCCCCCTCCCACTTCCAAGTTTCATTTTATGTATCTCTAAAAAAAAAAAAATCAGAAGCAAAAATGCTGAATTTAAACATCTATAAAACCTGGGTGACCTGTGTGTGGGTATTGTTCCATCATTTTTCACATTTTTCTCGGTAGTTTAAATATTTTATAATTTTTGTTGGAGACATAGAGGTGTTCTGGGACAGTCCAGGGGCAGGGGGCGGGGTTGGGCCCTTCCCAGGATTGAGAGCCACACTGCCCCACGTCCCCCTTCTTCTTCCAGGAAATCCGTGTTCTCCCTGGCCGAGCTGGGCCAGATGAACGGCTCTGTGGCGGGAGGCGGTGCGGCCGCAGGAGGCGGCCCTGGAGGTGGCAGCGGCGGTGGCGGGCTCGGCGGAGGGAGCAGCACGGATGACGGAGAGATGCCCGTCAAGCACGAAATCGGGGAGGAGCTTATCTGGACAGGAAGGTGCCCACCCAGGCCTGGCATCCTTTACACGTGTCTCCTTCCCCCCTCCCTGGAGGAACCCTCCCCCCCACTCCCTGCAGCGCCCGCTCCTCACCCTGAGGTCTGGCCATTGCCCTCTTTTCTTCCTCATACCCTCAAAGCCCCTCCTGCACCCAGCAAAGTGTTCCCCAGGAGAGGACAGGTGGGACCCAACAAAGGAATGGAGGAACCCAAACTTTTCCTTAGACGCCCCTTTTACCTCCATTAGTTTTCTAGGGCTGCCACAAGCAAGTGTCACAGACGAGGTGGCTCGAACCACAGAACTTTATTCTCTCATAATTCTGGAGGCTAGGAGTTCCCAGTCGGAAGGTCAGCTGTGCTCCCTCTGAGACCCTGGGGAGAATGTTATACTTGTGGGCACAGAGCGGGCAGGGGGTTCTGTCCTTGTGTCCTCCTAGCTTCTGGTGGTGCCGCCAGGCCTCTGGTTCCCTGGCAGCAGCTGCGCAGTGCCCCCCTCTGCCTCCATTGTCACACAATGTTCTCCCTCTTCTGTCTTCACATGGCATTTTCCTCTTCTTATGATGACGCCAGTCATATTGAATTTGGGCCAACCCCAATGGCCTCATCCTAGCCTCACTGCACCTACGAAGGCCCTGTTTCCAAATGAGGTCACGTTCACAGGTGCCAGAGGTTAAGATCTAGGAGAACACGATGAACGTGTGTTATGCTCAGGGCTGTTGCTGCCTCAGCTTCGGACGCAGCTGTGTTTACCGAGCACAGGTGCCCTGCGGATGACCAGGGACATGAGGGGGCAGCCGTCTGTGGACCCCATGGAATGTTAGGTCCACCCCAGGACATATTCCCATCAGGCCTTCTCTCTCCCACCCACACTGTTTGTGACCACGCTTCTCCTGGGAGACCGCGCCGACCACAAACTCTCAGCCCTAGTCCTCTTCATTCCCTGGTCCTCAACGTTCTGGTGGGAAGATCCTTGCCCCCATCCACGCCTAGTCAAGTTCCCTCCCTCTCCCCGGACGCTGCAGACTCCTGTCAGTGGCCCCGCCCCCGCCCTGGGGTTGGTGGGGAGAAAGCAGCGCGTGGGCCTGTCTTAAGCAGGTGCTTTGGTGGCCTGTGCCTGGACGTCAAGAGGAAGCTGCCCTGGTTCCTCAGCGACTTCTACGATGGCTTCCACATCCAGTCCATCTCCGCCGTTCTCTTCATCTACCTCGGCTGCATCACCAACGCCATCACCTTCGGAGGGCTCCTGGGCGATGCCACTGACAATTACCAGGTGTGTGTGCAGGACATGCGCCAACCTCGGTAAAATCCGTTGCCACTGGGTGGCAGTAAGGAGCTTGGTCCTAGAATCTCCAAACCAAGTCTGCCATCCAGGCTCAGACCATCACTTTCAGTAATCCTTTACCCTTCAAAAGGTTAGTAACAAGATCTTTATATATATAATCAATAAAATATATATATTTTATTTATTTATTTATTTATTTATTTATTTATTTATTTATTACAGAGAGGAAGAAAGAGGGATAGAGAGTTAGAAATGTCGATGAGAGAGAAACATCGACCAGCTGCCTCTTGCACACCCGCTACGGGGGATGTGCCTGCAACCAGCGTATTACATGCCCCTGACCAGAATCGAACCTGGGATCTTTCAGTCTGCAGGCCAACGCTCTACCACTGAGCCAAACCGGTTTCGGCTAGTAACAAGATCTTAAAAGATCTAAGGCTAAACCGTGTTACTAATGACTAAATTTAAGACTGTGTAAATCAAACGTTTAAGGGGAATCGTCTGCTCTGTTTGATACTTTCCACACTGCTTGAGTGAACTGAATCAACACAATTAACGAGTTGTTGGTTGTGTCCTTCTCCTCACCAATCATAAACCTTTAACTTGGAGTTAAGACATTTTTAGAATGATGGTAAACTGTTTCCATGATGATTCAGGCCTCCCTGGGGAAAACACCCGCTCAGCAGACATCAGCTTGAGCTCCAAACAAGGGTCTTCTCTGAAGGGAGCCCTCAAGAGAGAACCACTAGAAAGCTCAAAACATTAAGGTGAAGACACGGTTTCCCAGATAAATTGAGATGAACCCCTTCCACCAGCCCACTCCACTCTCGAGCTGCAAGTCCAATATCCAGCTGCATCTGACCATATCCATATGGAATCCCCCAACTCACAGGGTCTACATGGCATCCACCATCTTCCTTCCAGACCTGCTGTTCTACCATCACAGCCGGTGACACCATGGTTTGCCCCAGTTATTCACATACTGACTCATAACCAGCTTCCCCCAGTGGCCCTCGTAGCATGGTCATTCCTGCTCTCACATCGCATCTTCCAGTGTTTCCTTCTCAGACCCCTGTCCACCACGCTCATTCTGCACTGATTTCCATCAGCCTTTTGTCATCATTCAGTTCCTCAAAGCCATGCTCTCTTCAGGTCCAGCCTTTGTATAGAGCAGTGGTCGGCAAACTACGGCTCACAAGCCGATGTTTGCAACTCTGTTGACTAATGAGTTTGCCGACCACTGGTATAGAGTGTTCCCTCTTCCCAGGACACTCACATCACTCCATTTCCTCTCTGCTCTGTGTGTGGGTATCAGCTTCCACATATCTATCTCTGGAGAGGCCTTCCTCACCACTCCTTTACTCCTACTGTGTGCTCCTCTGGCACCCTCGCCTGATCCCAGCTTCTCACACTTCTTAGCAGTGGTTCTCAGCAAGGGATGGTTTTGACCCACCAGGAGACATTGGGTAATATCTAGAGATAGTGTGGGTTGTCATAATGGGAAAGGGGTGCTACTGGCATTTAGTGGGTAGAGGCCAGGGATGCTGCTAGACACCTTGCAATGCACAGCACAGCCCCCACACAGCGACTTATCAAGCTTGAAATGTCGGTAGTACTGAAGTTGAGAAACTGCTGTATAGAAATTGCCTGGTTACTTGTCTATATTTCCCACTAGACTGAAAAGGCATGATCTTGTTTACTGATGAGTCCCCAATAGTTAGCACAATGCCTGATACTTAGTAGGCACTTAATGAATTCTGAATGAATGAATGGTCTAACCTCCAAAAGCATCTAGCAGAATGACTGAGAGACTGAATGGATGAATGGGCTGTCCTCTGGGAGTAGAATGGGCACGGGGACAAGCAGAACCACTGGCACCCCTGTTTCCTAGGTCCTAGGGTGCGGAAAGGAAGTCATGCAGGACCTCTTCCCCAATGGGATTAAGTGATGTGGGGGATTGTGGAGGAGGATATGGGGAGCAGAACTTGGGAAGTAGAGGGCCTAGAACCATGGTCAGCAAACTGTGGCTCGCTTGCCACATGCGGCTCTTTGGCCCCGTGAGTGTGGCTCTTCCACAAAATACCACAGCCTGGGAGTCTCTATTTTGAAGAAGTGGCGTTAGAAGTTTAAGTTTAAAAAATTTGGCTCTCAAAAGAACTTTCAATCATTGTCCTGTTGATATTTGGCTCCGTTGACTAATGAGTTTGCTGACCACTGGCCTAGAATAAAGGGCGAGCACTGTGGCCTGGGTCCCTGGTGAGAGAGGTGTGATGTGTTTTGTGTCATAAGATGCCTTCTGCCTCCATGGAGCCTTACAGTCCTTGTGCCCCCAGGGGGTGATGGAGAGCTTCCTGGGCACTGCCATGGCCGGCGTCCTGTTCTGCCTCTTCTCGGGACAGCCGCTCATCATCCTGAGCAGCACGGGGCCCATCCTCATCTTCGAGAAGCTCCTCTTCGACTTTAGCAAGTAGGTGTTCCTCGGGCAGTCTGCTGAGACCGGGGCGGGGGAAACCCCAAAGGGGACGCCGGGCGAGCAGGTCCAAAGCTGTCTGTACCTGTCCAGAGAGGACTTCCAGGTGGTCCCTCTGACTTCCTCTAGCCACCTGCCTCTGAGTCACCTTGGTGTACATTAGCATAGCGGACAGGGAGACACCCAGGCAAGACGGGAGGAGAGAATTCACAGCACTCTGCTTGTGAGCAGTTATGACTTGGAAGTCAGTGCAGAGCATGAAAAGTTGAGCTGGAGGTCAGAAGGCTCCAATCTAACCTGGGCAGCCAGGAAGCCATTCTAAGGCCTGCCCAGCCATCAGTCTGAAGTTCCTTCTCTTACCCCCCACTCCCCCGCCCCATTCACGTTTGTTACCAAAATGTGAGAACTGAGATGTCTTGGCACCTTCCTGTCACCCCATGAGATCTTTTTTCAGAATTCTCAAAGACCAGACAACCCCACCCAGAAACTGTCCCAAGTGTCCCTGTCTCCAGTCCTCTTGCAGCTCCTAGGAGGGCATCGGTGCCAGATGAGTCATTCAGGGACAGATGAGTCATTCAGGGACAGATGAGTCATTCAGGTGGTATCTGGGGAGCCAAGCACTGCCCAGAGTTCCGGGCTGGAGGCCCTTCACTTTCCTCTGCCTTCCAGAGGCAATGGCCTGGACTACATGGAGTTCCGCCTCTGGATTGGCCTGCACTCAGCCATCCAGTGCCTGGTCTTGGTGGCCACGGATGCCAGCTTTATCATCAAGTACATCACCCGCTTCACCGAGGAAGGCTTCTCCACCCTCATCAGCTTCATCTTCATCTATGATGCCATCAAGAAGATGATCAGTGCCTTCAAGTACTACCCCATCAACACGGACTTTAAGCCTGACTCCATCACCTCCTATAAGTGCGAGTGTGTCGCTCCGGATACAGGTGAGCAGTGACCTCAGTGTTGCCCTGGGCCCCCACCCACCCTCCTATCCCCTTCCCCTCCTCCTGTGTCTCTTCTCAAATGCAGGAGGGTGAGCTTGCGTTGAATGGGCAACTACTGACCCAAGAGAGCAAATGCAGAGTCTTGAGCCCCATGTTTGGAAGAAAACCTGAGGGGACAGTAACTCTAAGGAGGGTCATGCTACCAGAGCCCAGGGGTGTAATCAGAGAATAAAGGAACGGGAACCAGGACAAGTTGTTTTGAGTAGAAGACTTTGAAAAGGAAGAAAGTTCTAGACATGTAGGAGACTGGGGAGGATGTAGCTATTATAAAGAGGTGGGTTTCTTTCCCAGCCCACGGGCCACTTGCTTGCAAATGGTTCCATCTCCCTGGTGTTCCTGCAAAACCGAGTCCGACGATGGCACAGTCACTCACTGTCACTCTTCATCACAAAGGCTTGTTCGGGGCACTTTCTTTTTAAATTTCACCTTGTTTCCATCGTAACTGGTTTGTATTCTGTTTATGGATGCTGCACACACTGACTTGGCTGCTTTCAATCCCAAGTGAGTACCATTTGCAAACACTAGAATTTCAAACTGTTTGATCCTGGGACACTCTCTGGACGATTCCATGCTATATAATCCTTCCTCCTTCATCTCAAAGTGGCTTTCCGATAAATCCTACAAAGTTCCCTATATAAAAGAATGGCAAGCCTGCGCTGGTTTGGTTCAGTGGATAGAGGATCGGCCTGCGGATTGAGGGGTCCCAGGTTCGATTCCAGTCAAGGGCATGTACCTTGGTTGCGGGCACATCCCCAGTGGGGAGTGTGTAGGAGGCCGCTGATAGATGTTTCTCTCTCATTGATGTTTCTAGCTCTCTATCCCTCTCCCTTCCTTTCTGAAAAAAAAAAAAATCAATGAAACATATTTTAAGACAGAGAGAGAGAGAGAGAGAGAGAGAGAGAGAGAGAGAGAGAGAGAGAGAGGGAGAAAAGAATGGCTAAGCCTAAGCAGAGGATGCCACAGGAATATCTGGTATGATTGGCATCTGATGTGACTGAGCTGAGTGACTTGAGCCTGCCTTCTTGCCACCTGGTCTATTCCGTTGTTAATCATGCATCGTGCCTTCTTGGTCAGTGGCGTGAGGAAAGGCAGCAAATGTCCTGATTTCTAGGAAATGAAGCTTTCCTCGGAATAATGGTAACAACCCTCTAGGGCAGCCTTTCGGACCTCACGGGCCACCCGTGATCCACGGATCACCGGTTGGAACCACCGGTTGGCGACTGCTTCTCTGGGATGTGAAGCTGCTAGGAGTGTTGTGACCTAGGTCGAAGCTAAGTCCCTTAGCCACATCCAAACCAGTTTCCCCGGAAGTGAGCAACTCAGAGGGCCCTGTGGTCACATCCACCCAGGACAGCTTGTTGGGGCTGATGGAAGCTTCAGGAATAGCCTCTTCTGCCCTCTGGCTCCTAACCACAGGCAGCAGGAGCTAGATGGGGCTGGCAGTGCATTTCAGACTTGTCACCAGCAAACTAGCGGGCAGGCCTGCTCCCTCCCCAAACCTGCTGCAGAGGTACCGCTCAGTCAGCGCCCCCTGGAGGAGGAAGGCGGGAGGACGTGGCCCTTGCGCACCCCTGCAGTGCAGGAGCAAGAGGGAGGGCAGCAGTGGCCCTCCAAGACCTGCCTTGGTAATGAGTGGTCACAACCCCCAGGGCAGGCCTCACAGTTTCTCTCCACTCTTCTCACTGCCCTGGTGGGACCCTCACATGCTCCACTCAGTGTTAGGGAAGCTGAGGCTGGACCGGGTTTAAGCTTCCTCTGCTTCCACTGGAGCAAGCGCAGATTAGAGAAGACAACAGCAAAGCCAACCAGCTCCTCAGGCCAGCTGACCTAAAAACCAACCAATCAAACAAACAAACAAACAAAAATGGCCCATGTGGACGGGGCCAGGCCGGGGAGAAGGGAAGTGTGTGGGGCGAGGAGGAGGACAGGAAGGCGCTTGCTGGGTGAAGCTGGGAGGTGTCTAGGCTCTGGGCCTGCCTGGGATGGGTCACAGCTCCTCTGAGTACCCTCTGTGTGACCTTGGGCAAAGGGCAGGCTACTTGACCTCTCTGGGCCTCAGTTACCTCATCTTTAAAATGGGGGGACTTCTTTCAGATTTAGGCACTTAGCCAGATGGTGTGTGTAAAGGTTTGGCAAGGTGCATGGCACAGTGTTAGGTTCTTTGAAAATGTTTGAAGACGTGAGTCCAGTGGCCGGTAGGGATGCACAAGGCACGTTATTCACTGATTTGTGTCAGCCCTGGGTCTTGGCAACAGCTCCCTTCCTTCAGGCTATCGATCCAGCCCTCCAGCCTCAGAGAGCGGCTGCCTTAGCCTGGCCACCACCACCACCTCCCTGCCCCCTGCTGTCCCTGGACAAAGTGGGGAGAGTGCAGAGGGGGGGCTCGATGAGCACCCTCACCCCGGAGCCAATCCCTGGCTCTATGGGACTGGAGGAGGATGGGAAGGGTGGGGGCCGTGATGGGGGGGAGGAGTCACAGGCCCCTGCCCAGCAGTTGCTGACCCTCCCCATGTCCTACGCTCGCCCACAGTGAACATAACCGGGTTCAATGCCTCAGCCCTGCTGCCACCAAACACCAACACTTCTCTGGTAAGTCCTTTCCGCTTACACTTGAGAGCTTTGTGGGGAGAGTGGGAAAGTTGGGAAACTGAGGCCATCTTATGGCACCCCAGACTGCAGAGGTCAACCCAGACTGCACAGGTCCCCTGTGGAGCCTTGTCAATGCACATTTTAATTTTATGTACATTCTGTCAAAGTCCCTTTTTAGAACATGCCTTGTTCCATAAGATGTATGTGCATAAATATCACACAAACACACACACACACACACACACACACACACAAAGGGGAGAGGTGGACATGAGGAATAAATAAGACTGCATAAACAATGCTGTGAACAGTTTCCCACCCACCTTCCTTCCTCTTCCTGCCTTTCCACCTGGGATCCCCAATTCCCACCTGCAGGCCCCTCTCTGTTTACTTCCTATTCATGCTCCCCCCTCACTGTCTGATCTGTCCTTTGTGCTCAGGGGCCCCAGGCCCTCAGACCTGGCCTGCTTTTCCCAATAATAATAAGCAGTAGCCCTCATGATTAGAGAGTAATTTATAGTAAAATTGAATGTATATTGTAAAACTTTAATGTGAAAAGATTCAGGCTCCAATGGTGGGAAGTCCAAAACCAGGTGAAGGGTAGGTTGGCGCTCGGGGTGGTTCTTGAACCTCTCATGTCCCCAAGGTCTCTCCTTCAGTCACCCCCACGCAGGTAGCTGCCAGCTCAGTTGGCAATTTAACCTAAGATTTTTCAAATATCTGATCATGAGAGGGAAGAATGGAATCAGCCAGCACCTGAGTCTGCATACTTGTTATCCGCAAGGTGCAGTGTGTGCTGTGAGGGATAAGGAGACCTGTAGGAAACAGACCCGGTTCTGCCCTCACACTTGCTTGTCCTAAGCCTGCGGACTGGAAAGTACTGGACAGCACAGGCAGAGCATGCCATGTGCCAGGCAGGCCGCGTGTGCTCCCACGCTAGAGAGGAAGGCCTCCCGGAGACCCTAGAACGCCATCGGGGCTGAAAGGTCGGGAAAGTTGCTTCTGTAGAGAGAAGCTCATTCCCATTCCAGTTGAGGGACCAGCACAGACAGAAGGGCACAAAAGGAAAAACACAAACCTGTCCAGGACAGTGAGTGGACCGCTGGGCTGAGACAGTGTGAGGTGGGGGTTGTGCAGGGAAACCACAAGAGATGAGCTGGGAGAGAGACGCTGGGCCAGACCAATGGAAAGCAGAGGCGCACTACCCTGCAGGGGGCGTTTTTAATTGCGTCAGAGATCCGGGGCACCTGACAGGAGATGGCTGGGCCTCTCTCTCCGTGTGGTTTTCCTCCCGCCCTGAGCTTTCTCACAGCACCGTGGCCTCAAGAGCGTGAGAGCAGACGCCGCAAGGCCCCACGAGGCCGTGGCTCAGAACCCTCGCGGAGCCACTTCCTCTCCCTCCTGTTGGTCTCAGCAGGCCCTGGGGTGGAGAAATAGACTGCACCTTGATGAGAACTGTCAGTGTCACGTTGCAAAGGAGTGTGGACACGGGGAGTCATGATTCATTAGGACACTGTCATTATGGCAAACTACCACACTTCTCTCAATCCACACATCCATTATAATTGCAAGCATCTGTTTACTTCATTATGTATTATAGGTTCCAAAATTTTACACATTAAATTTTAAAAATACATCAAATTTTATTACAAAACACTCTCCTTTTATTCTTCCTTTTATTATACTTAGAGACATATATGAATATATATGTACACTTATGTACATTTAGGAACATACCTATGTATGTATATACACTGAGTGGCCAGATTATTATGATCTCTGAATGCATAATTATCTGGACACTCAGGGTGTTTGTGTGTGTGTGTGTGTATTAGAGGCCTGGTGCATGAATTCGTGCATGGGTGGGGTCCAGCAGCCTAGCCAGAGGGAGGGGACATGGGCAGTTGGCCACCCTGCCTGCTGGTCAAACTCCTGGTCGAGGGGACAATTTGCATATTAGCCTTTTATTATATAGGGTATACACTGAGTGGCCAGAGATCATAATAATCTGGCCACTCAGTGTATATGAACATGTGCATAGGAATATACATAAGAATATATACTATACAGTCCTCCATATTTATACATGTAAAATGGTCGTGTGCCCTGGATTTTAGGCATCGGGGATACCAAAGGGGAGGTGCCAGAAGCAGCTGATCTAAGAAGGGTCAAACATGGGTGGGATATGAGCCCCAATATGTGAGAGGGTGTGTACAGGGACAGGAAAGGGAAGAGTCAGTGTGAGACACTCCAGGAAGGAGGTGGCCTGAGCTGGGAGCGAGGCCTGCTGAGGAGGAGGGCATCCCACCCTCTGTGCTTCTCCTCCGTGCTAACAGCAGTGCATCCTAGAACACATCTCCGCTTCTAATCGCCCAACGGAGCCTCCTGTAGGTCCTTCCTTAAAGCAGCCTGTCTGCAGGAGCATCTTCTGTTGCTGGGCCATGGGGCAGAAAGGCTAGTGCCCCTCAGAGAGCAGGAGGGGCATGTGGGCTGCCTAGGGACGGCAGGGCAGGGGCAGGGGCCACAGTTGACCCATGAGGATGGCTCTGACCCTTTCTCTCCTGTGCTTGGTCCCCAAGTACAACCCCCTTAACCTCACAGCGCTGGACTGGTCCCTGCTGAGCAAGAAGGAGTGTCTGAACTACGGTGGGCGCCTGCTCGGGAACTCCTGCCAGTTCATCCCCGACCTGGCACTCATGTCCTTCATCCTTTTCTTCGGGACGTACTCTATGACCCTCACCCTGAAGAAGTTCAAGTTCAGCCGCTATTTTCCTACCAAGGTGAGCTCACCCTGCAGTTAGAAGGGGGCCTCGAGTCAGACTGTTCACAAGATCTCCCTGGAAAGATTCCCACCCACTCGCAGGATGGACACATCGGCATGGGCTCACTGAGCTTCTTCAGGTAAATAGCCCAGACTTGGAGTCAGAGAGAACTGGGTCCCTTTGTTGATAACACTTGGTATTGTCAGACTTTTATCTTTTGGGGGAGTAACACCTCTTTGTGTTTTTTAAATTTCCTTTTCCCTGATGTGTTGCAACTATCTTCTTACACTCTTTTATTGGCCTTTGTAACTTCCTTAATGATATCTTTTTATTAATAGAAAGTATTAATTTTACTATAATCAAATATATCAAAATTTTCCTCAAGGAAAATATTGGACAGAAGATATTCTCTTATGTTATCTTCTAAATGTTTCATTGTTTTCCTTTCATATTAGATCTACAATCTATCAGAATTGCTTTTGACATATAGTATGAAATAGTATTTTTATATAGATGGTCCATTATTCCAGCACTTGAAAAAAATCTTTCCCCCACTGCTCTTCAATGCTTCCTTTGCCATTTATCAAATTTCACACAAGATGGGGTCTATTTCTAGGTTCTTTATTCTGCTTCATTGGTTTATTTGTATGCCAATAACACAATCTTCACAATCTTATAAGTCTGTATATCTTGCAGACTAACCTCTTTGTCCCTTTTTTCAATAATCCGTTGGCCTTTTGCATTTCCACGTAAGTTTTAAATCATCTTAAATTTCACCAAAATAAAAACTTATTGGAGTTTTGATAAGATTATATTAACTCTACATGTCAATGTAGGGGAAAATGGCAACCTTCAAATTTTGAGTCTTCTGATCCATGAATATGATATGCCTTGCCTTTTTATTAAGATCTTGTTTCTTTCCATAATGTTTTAAATTAATTACATATGATATTTTAATACCGATTTTAAAGGGGAGTAGGAGGTACAGGGAACAAATTCATTGTGCCATATGTAGCCTTCTCCTGCCCCTCCCAATTGCTTTCCCTATTGTTCTCTGGAAACTGCTGTTTCTGAAGAGAGACAAAAAAGGTGACAGGGTAGCCAGTGGTGTGGAAGGGCAGGGAGATGAGGTCCAGAGCCTGGCCTAGGATGGGCCTTCTGAAACAGTGAAGCAAGAGGTCACGGACTCTTCGTGGGAAGAAGGTCTGAGGGTAGTCAGGGGTCCTCGGAAGAGTTGGGGGGCCTTCCGTCCCAGCCCGGGGGGCAGTGCAACAATCTGTCACACATTTTTAGGAGCTAAGGTTTTCTTCAGAGCTTAGCCGTTGTCCTTACCACCACTGCTGGGTGACGCGGTTCAGTCTGTCATACCAAAAATGTCAGCGATGGCTGCCATGCCTTGTGCATAACAGCAGTTCCCACTGGACTAATAAGTGCCAAGCCCTTGGAATGCATTGTAGCTCACCTATGCCAATGAGGTAGGTGTATCCTTATCTTCATTAAACAGATGAGGAAACCGAGGCTCTGAGAGATGATGAGTTTTCCCAAGATCACATAGCCAGAGAGGGCTGAGCCTAGGTCAAGCCCACGCTCTTAACCATCCTCCTCTTTGCTGCCTGGGAACTAGACCCACCTGCAGGTGGGTGGGTAATGTCAATCACTTGCTCATCTTTCTGCAGATCCGGGCCCTGGTAGCTGACTTTTCCATTGTCTTCTCCATCCTGCTGTTCTGTGGAATCGATGCCTGTTTCGGGCTGGAAACCCCCAAGCTGCATGTGCCCAGTGTCATCAAGGTTTGCTCTGGGCAGTAGCTCCGCCACTCACCGGCTGCAGATCCAGTCCCCTGTACCCTGATCCGACAGTCAGGACTCTCAGCCCAGTGACCCTGCGGGTTCTCTGTGCATGCTCCACCCTTTCTGGGCAGAACAGCCTCCCGAGGGAGATCCTATGGGTTGACAGGTTGGGGCCATATTCACAACGAAACCCCACTGTGTGGCCACAGGGTGGGGAGGTGATGGAATGGAATCTACAATAGCTGAAGCCCTTGATTGCCACTCGAGGGCCTACAATACCCTGACTCCAGGCAGTCTGCAAGCCTGGTCACCTGGGTTCTGTTGAAAAACGACCCTTTAGAACAGTGATTCTCAAAGTGTGGTCCCAGACCAGCATCAAGAGAACCACTGCTTCACAAATCCTCCCCCCTCCCTCACCCCCAGAGTCCACAGTTTGTGCCATTTGCTTGTAAGCTAAGTTTGAGTCCCAATGCCTCCCAAGGAGCTCCCTCCTTCTGTACTGGGCTGGGAGGTGCAGGTTTTAGAACTGGCCCTTCCTGACTTTGAGGACTTGACATTCACAATGTCACTTGGAGGTTCTCCTAAGGAGCTCAAGCGCACCCCAGATAGGCAGTAGGCCCATCCAAGTCTTTATTCTTGCCTGTTGGGCCTCATTGCTGCACCTTTTTAGTTTGGAATTAAGTGGTGGCTGCAAGCTCCCTCCCAACACCCCAAGCTCCCTCCCAACACCCTGTTTCCTAATCAACCCCTGGCAGCTGCCACAAAGGATCCCTTAGCTCTGCAGACACAAGGGGTCCTTCCTTCCCGAGTCTGTCTGCCTCCGGCTCTCTTTGTTCTGAAGTTGCAGGTGTCAATGTCTTTATGGGAAAAGATTGCACTTGAAAAGTGCCCCAGATGGAGGCAGGAAGGCGGGGAGGGGGGCCCTGGGTGGCCAGTGCCCTGGGACAAGGGAGAGAGGAAAGGACCCTCTCTGTTTGCTCCACTAGCCCACACGGGCAGACCGAGGCTGGTTCGTGGCCCCTTTTGGGAAGAACCCGTGGTGGGTGTACCCAGCGAGCATCCTGCCTGCCCTGCTTGTGACCATCCTGATATTCATGGACCAGCAGATCACAGCCGTCATCGTCAACAGGAAGGAAAACAAGCTGAGGGTAAGGCTGGTGCTGGGAGCAGGGATGCAGCCTCCCTCATCCCACCAAGTCAGAGCTAACTCAGCGGGTAGATGGTGCGTCTATCAGAACTCTGGGCCATTTCTGAAGCGATATATCAGGCCATAAGACTGAGTTCTGGTGTGTGGGGGAGAAACGTGACCTGCAAATGCAATAAGGCCACCAGGGCCAGAGGGACTTGATCCAAAGACCAGGACAAAGTCCAGTGTGGGCCACTGGGCACCTTCTCCCAAGGAGACCCTCCAGCTCTGTGCCTCCTGACAGTGACCTTGGGAGTCAGAGCAGATCCTAACGGGATTTTGACTCAGAACCATGAGGCAGAGGAGCATCCTTAGTTCTTCTGTTCCTGCAACGCCCCACCCTGCCTCTGGGTCTGGGGAGATTCAGGCTCCCCTCTCCCCCATCCCAACCTGGACCACTCTAGGTTTGGTCCAGGGCCTGTCCCAGCCAGGGCCCCATTCGGGAACTGCAGAGAGATTGTGGCCGCTGGCAGAAGCCCTCCTCCCCAAGGACGCCAGCGCAGGGCCTCTTTGAGTCTGAACACCCCTCTCCTCCCTCACCTTGCCCCTTCCCTGGCTCACCAAACCCTGAGGCTGATGAGGCCTGGGCACTGTAGGATGGCAGCCCCTCAGCGGACCCTCTAGAACAGTGTTTCCCAAACTTTTGACATATGTGCACTCCTTCTATAATTTTCATAACGCTGAGTACCCCTTGTACTCAGGAGAACATAGAATTAGGCGCAGCTAAGCACGGTGCAGTGCATATCCCCACCAAACTCCGGTGCAACGCGTACCCCCACCAAACTCTTCCTGTACCCCTGGGGGACGCGTACCACACTTTGGGAAACACTGCTCTAGAAGGTCAAGGGGAGTTCTGAACCATGCTCCACCAAATGACTGCTTCGGGGAGATTTCTGTCTAAACCCCGCCCCCCGCTGCCCCCGTCAGCAACAGCCCCCCTCCCCTGCCGCCCTGCAGAAGGCTGCCGGCTACCACCTGGACCTGCTCTGGGTGGGCCTCCTCATGGCCCTGTGCTCCTTCATGGGGCTCCCCTGGTACGTGGCGGCCACCGTCATCTCCATCGCCCACATCGACAGCCTCAAGATGGAAACCGAGACCAGCGCCCCCGGGGAGCAGCCCCAGTTCCTGGGGGTCAGGTAGGTGGGGCTCTGGGCTTGGGGACCCCCTGAGCAGGAGTGGTCCGTTTGGGGGAGGGGAAGTAGGTTTCTTTTGCCATCAGGGTATTTGGGAAAAAGGGGCCCCTGCTCTGACAGCTCAGGAGCCACACGGAGAGCAGCAATTTTCAACTGAAGGGAGGTGAAAATTCAGTTCTAAGTGATGCTTTTTTAATTTTTTTAAATTATTTTTTATACATATATATTTTATTGATTTTTTTTACAGAGCGAAAGAAAGAGGGATAGAGAGTAAGAAACATCGATGAGAGAATCATCGATCAGCTGCCTCTTGCACACCCCCCACTGGGGATGTGCCCGCAACCAAGGTACATGCCCTTGTCTGGAATCGAACCTGGGACCTTTCGGTCCGCAAGCCGATGCTCTATCGACTGAGCCAAACCGGTTTCGGCTAAGTGATGCTTTTTGTCTCAATAGATTCCAAGCACCACCAAGGCCCATATTCACACGCTCAGCTCCTGCCTATATGGGCCCCTCAAGAGCCCCTCAGCCGCTTCTGACCCGTCCCTTTGTCTCCTCTCCAAGATACCCCGTCCTCACTGTCCCCGAAGCCCTCCTCTGGGTCTGGGTCCTGCTCACTCTCCATTCCTTCAGAGAGCCTTCCAGACCGTCCCCACTCCTGGGCTGAGGCCCAAGGCCTGTCCCCTCCGCTCCTCTCATGCCCATGTCAGGCCCCTGATCTGCTTTAGACACAGAAGCACACCCTCCCCCTCTGAGGTTCTCTGGGTTGAGCCCACCCCACACACTGACCTTCTCAGAAGTGGCTGTCCTAAGAGCTCCCCCCACTGCCCCAGGAGACCCCACTTTCCCAGGCTGCCCAGAGAGAGGCTTCTCTGATCAGGGCAGGGTCCCCTCCCCGACCCCCAGCCCCCAGACAGAGGGGCCTGAGCAATCTGCCCAGAGCCCCCAGCTCCCACCTGCACCATGTCCGGACCTGGGCACACGGGAATACACACCTGCTTTCCCACCCCTCGGTCAGACCTGCTCCGCCAGCAGCCAGGCCCCCTCCCCCAATCCTCATTAGTCGTGCCCTACAAATTATTATAGGATCTTATTATAGCCAAAGGGCAGGTGTAATAAGCACTTTATATATATATTATATATTATTGATTTTTTTTACAGAGATAAAGAGAGAGGGATAGAGAGTTAGAAACATGGATGAGAGAGAATCATCGATCAGCTACCTCTTACACACCCCCTACTGAGGATGTGCCCACATCCAAGGTACATGCTCTTGACCAGAATCGAACCCGGGACCTTTTAGTCCACAGGCCAATGCTCTATCCACTGAGCCAAACTGGTTTCGGCTATAATAAGCACTTTATATCCCATTTCATTCTCACAACAACTCAGCCCCCAGGTGGGTGCCACTATCTCTCTCCTACAGAAGTGAAGACACTTAGGGCCTGATGCCACACCACCAGTTAGCGGCAGAGCCCCCCACTATTAGTCACTGCAGTGGTCAACCTCCCGGACACCCCTACAGAAGACCCTCGCCTCTGTCGGGCTCCCCCTCTCCTCCTGTGTGTGCTCAGCTGGGCCTTGAGCAGCAGGTTTACTCTCTGGAATGGGGGAACAAGGCAGAGGCCAGGGCCTTGGCCATGACCTTGAGGTGCCCACAGAGGGTCACGGGATGGTCATGGAGCATCTCCCAGTCTACCTGACCATGTGCTCTTCTCTGCCAGGGAACAGAGAGTGACCGGCACCATCGTCTTCGTCCTGACGGGAATCTCCGTCTTTCTGGCTCCTGTCCTCAAGGTGAGGCCCCGCCCACTTCCCCAGGACGCTTTCTGTCTGGGAAGCCACTGGCCTGATGCCCCCAAGGTGGAGCAGGGTCCCCCATGGCCCCTAAAAAGGCAGGATTCTATGAGGTCAAAGAGACGTTTCATCATCATCATTGCTTTCTGGAATAGTGTCATTTATTATCAGCAGCCATTGGCCTCGCTGTTCTATCACCCCTCCCAGGAGCCACCTCACCTTCCTGTGAGACGCCGCCCTTAGAAAGTTCTGCCGAGGCCCACCGCTTAGGTCAGGGGCTTCCCGAGCTGGCTGTGTGTCCACGTCGCTGTGTTTATGGCTCACGAGAGGCCTCCCGGCTTTAAAACTTGCAGGGAGTCTTCTCTACGTGTCCTCAGGGCCTGTTTCCTGCGTTTCTATCCTGCGTGTATTGGGCACATAGTGACTTTTCCCAACACGGTCTGAAGCTCCTCTGCTCCCATCCGTCCCTCCAGAGCAGCTGGAAGAGACGAAATCATCCAATGGGAGTTCCTTCGGAGTGTGTCCTTACTCCGAGATCCTGGGGGTTAGGACTTCCGCACGTGAATTTTGGGGACACAGTTCCTCACGGAACACCTGTCAGTGGCCCTTTCCCATAATCATGGCCCACAAAGACTTTGCTGTCTGGAGTTCATCTTAGTTGTAGCTGCCCTGCCCCCCCTCCCACATGAGTATCTCAGAATGACCCACCCATTCAGGGTGCCGTGTGAAGAACAAAAACGGGAGAGCCATGGTGTTCATTATTTCCTTTGCCGCGGGAAGTATTTCTAGCTTGAGAACTGGTGTAGTTCCTTTACACTTTTACCGTGTTTCATAAAACAGCAAACACCTCCCAAGCTGTGTCCAAATGGAATGACGCCTTGGCCCCACAGTTCCTGTCTTTCAGCTCAGATGTCATAGGTTTATAGCATTATGGGTCCAAGTCATGCTTTATGTTCAAAAAAGGAACACAGTCTGATTTCTTTTAAAAAGAGGATGTTTGGCTAGATTTATTGACCTTCTGAAATAGTGTCTAACTGTTGGGCGTGGCACTTTGGTTCTTCCACGTCACGTGCTCCAACACGAAAACCCCGGGAGTGAGGCAGAGCAGCCTGGTTCATAGTGAAGAGCCGCAGGAGCAGCTACAGTGAAAGAAAAGTAAAAACACAGCATAAAGAGACCGTGGGGAGCCGAAACCAGTTTGGCTCAATGGATAGAGCGTCGGCTTGGAGACTGAAGGGTCCCGGGTTCGATTCCGGTCAAGGGCATGTACCTTGGTTGCAGGCATATCCCCAGTAGGGGGGGGGTGCAAGAGGAAGCTGATCGATGACTCTCTCTCATCGATGTTTCTAACTCACTCTCTCCCTTCCTCTCTGTACAAAATCAATAAAATATATTAAAAAAAAAAAAAAAAAAAAAAGACCGTGGGGAGATACCTCAAAAGGCTTCTAAAGAGCCATAATGGTGACTACAGGACAGTGCAATGATATGATGCCGTTGTTGAAAAAGTAAGCCATCTACCTGTGAGCACTAGTGGTGAGCTGGTGAGCAGTGGTGGTTGGCATGTACATTGTTTTGTTTCTTCTTGTTTTCTTTCTTTTTTAAATATATTTTTACTGATTCCAGAGAGGAAGGGAGAGACAGAGAGAGGTAGAAACATCCATGATGAGAGAGAATCATGGGTCAGCTGCCTCCTGCAGGCCTCCCACTAGGGATTGAGTCTACAACTCAGGCGTGTGCCCCAACCAGGAACCGAACCGTCACCTCCTGGTTCATAGGCGGATGGACGCTCAGCCACTGCGCCATGCCGACCGGGCTCCTCTGGTTTGTTTCATGTGCTCGTGTGTGATGAATGGGCTTTGTTAGCAGGTGCAGGTCACTCGCTAAAGACTCCCAGCTCCCTACAAGCTGAGCTGCCGCGCTTCGGGCCCTCCGCTGGGGCTGGAAGCGGGAAGGGGCAGACAGGAATAAGCAGGGGGCTCTCTATGGAGCTTTCCCACGTTCCAGAAGCTATGTCGTCAGACCACGTGGTGCTCCAGGACCTGAAGCAGGGGGCCAAGCTGGGGAGCACTGCACACGGACTGCCCACCCAGCTAGGAGGGTGGCAGAAGCGCCCCAGAGGCCACCGCCTTCCCCACTGGCACTCTGGCTCCACATCTGCTCTCAGACCCTCCACCCCCAGCTCCTTCCGCCCAGGGAAGCCGGGCGGGCTGCCTCTGTGACCGGCAGACAACTGCAAACAGAGCAGGGCAGCCCACAGCTGGCCCCAGGCAGAGGCTCAGCCGAAGCCGCTCCCCTCTCGTTTCAGTACATCCCCATGCCCGTGCTGTACGGCGTCTTCCTCTACATGGGCGTGGCCTCCCTGAACGGCATCCAGGTAAGCCCTCCCCTCCCGGGGGTCCGCGCTCCGCGTCCGGGTCCGTGTCACCAAGACCCCAAGTGCTCGCTCTCCCAGCTCAATGAAATAATGATGGTAATAATAAGACTACCACTGACTATGTATGTGCCAAGTAAAACAACTATCCCAGGCACTTCATAGTGTTATATAATCAAATCTGTGTAAGGAGGCCCTCTGATACCAATTTTATAAATGAGGAAATAAGAGGCTCAGAATTCAAAACTCAGGTGAGGCTGACTCCAGTGAGCATTTCACTACACCTCTGACTTCTCTAGGCCAACTCACAGAACACTGTTTATATATATATATTTATTGATATTGATTTTAGAGAGGAGGGAAAGAGAGCTTGAAACATCAATGATGAGAATAATTGACCAGTTGCCTCCTGCTCGCCCCCTACTGGAGATGAGCCTGCAACCTGGGCATGTGCCCTGAGAATCAAACCCTGACCTCCTGATCCACAGGTCGTGCTCAACCACTGAGCCATACCGGCCGGGCTTGTTTTGTTCTTCATTTACCATGACAAACCAGGATGTCTTGAATTACTTCTGTTGCAATTAAGTTGCATTTTCTCTGACCGTGGCCAGTTCCAGGGCCCTGCCCTCCCCTGAGCTCTCGCTGAGTAAGATCTCGCTGTATGTCCTCCTAGACTTCGGTTCTCTCTCTGCGCATGCTTAACGCCTGACCGAGGGCTCCCTTCTCTGAGGCCCCCCACCCACTGCACACCGCTCCCCGCTCCCAGGCCCCCAGCTGGGCTCCTGTCCCCGCTGCTGGCTGAGCCTCTGCTCCCTCCCCAGTTCTGGGACCGCTGCAAGCTCTTCCTGATGCCGGCCAAGCACCAGCCGGACCACGCCTTCCTGCGGCACGTGCCCCTGCGCCGGATCCACCTCTTCACGCTGGTGCAGGTCCTCTGCCTGGCCGTGCTCTGGATCCTCAAGTCCACGGTGGCCGCCATCATCTTCCCGGTCATGGTAAGTGAGGCGGGCTGGCTTCCCGCCCGCTGGAGGTCCGCTCTGGCTTTCTCCGCCCTGATGGCCTGACTCCGGTCAGGCAGGCACAGCACAAGAGTGGAGCTGTGAATGCAGGCGGGTGGGGCGGGGCAGGTGGCGAGGAGGGCCGGGAAGGTGGCCTGTGCGGTGGACAGACGCTGCCGTGGCTCCCACCTCCGCTCAGCTCAGGTGAGAGTGCAAAAGCCACCCAGCCGCCCGGCTCTAGGGCAGGTGGCGAAGCTGGGCAAAGGTGACTGAGGTCCGCACTGCTGACATTCAAGCCAAGTGCAGAAGTGGATCTTGCTAAATAGAAACCCTTTGCCCTGGCCAGTTTGGCTCAGTGGATAGAGCTTTGGGCCTGTGGACCGAAGGGTCCCAGGATTGATTCTGGTCAAGGGCATGTGTCTCTGTGGCAGGATCCTCCCCAGCCCCGGCCTTGGCTGGCCTTGTGCAGGGAGCAACCAATCCATGTTTCTCTCACATGGATATTTCTCTCTGTCTTCCCCTCTCTTTTCTACTTTCCTGAAAACTCAATGGAAAGTTATCTTCAGGTCAGGAATAAGGAAGGAAGGAAGGAAGGAAGGAAGGAAGGAAGGAAGGAAGGAAGGAAGGAAGGAAGGAAAGAAGGAAAGAAGGAAGGAAAGGAGGCAACCTTGCATCATTCAGACTAACTGAATTTGAGAAGCTACCTGGGGGATGGGAAGAGCTAGAATCAGAGATGAAGAACTTCAAAGTCCAATGTCATTAACATCACGTTTGGGGAAAGGACATGAGAGTTCTGTGGCTGTTCTGGCAAATTTTATGTAAGTTTAAAAGTATTCCAGCCGAAACCGTTTGGCTCAGTGGATAGAGCATCGGCCTGGGGACTCAAGGGTCCCAGGTTCGATTCCGGTCAAGGGCATGTACCTTGGTTGCGAGCACATCCCCAGAGGGAAGTGTGCAGGAGGTGGCCAATTGATGATTCTCTCTCATCAATGTTTCTAAATCTCTATCCCTCTCTCTTCCTCTCTGTAAAATATCAATATATATGTATTAAAAAAGTATTCCAAAAGAAATTTTTAAAAAAGCCAAAATCATGTTGCCTTTGGCTCCTAGAGAAGCCCAGCACAGGGGAGTGGCCCCAGGCGCTGGTGGCCCCAAAGCCTGCAGGGCTGGAGCCGGGGCCAGAGAGGACAGGGGGGGGATGTGACATGTGCCCTCCTGGAGGGCTCTCTGTAGTGATTTTTGATCCAGGCTTCTCAATAGGGTCTCCCAGCACCCAACAGTGTGGGATCTGACGCAAGCTTAAGTCTGAGGACCACTGATTTAAAGGACAATTGTAGTTCTCTGACCATGGCTGCCACCTGGCTCCCCGCCTCAGCCATCGTGTGCTCTGTCCCTGAGGGTCACGGGTAGGCATCGCCACTGAGGAAAGCCAGTCAGGATCCAAGGCGGGCAGTTGGCGAATAACGGTTGTGGGAGCTTTGGGATGGCTCCAAAGACACTGACCAGATGTCCTTGAACATGGCTGCTGAGGGAGATCTGTGCCCAAGTGTGGGGACCTGAGCCTTCCATTTCCTCCCACCTCTCACTGCAGATCCTGGGCCTCATCATCGTCCGGAGGCTGCTGGACCTCGTCTTCTCCCAGCACGACCTGGCCTGGATCGACAACATCCTCCCAGAGAAGGAGAAGAAGGAGACAGATAAGAAGAAAAAGAGCAGGAAAGGGGTCCATGAGGACAGTGACAAGGAGGTGGGAGGATATGAGCCTGGGCCTAGCAGGGGGATGGAAGTGGGGCTGGACTGAGACCCTCCCTTCACATCAGCCAGGGCCAGGAATGGGGTGGCCTCTCAGGCAGCCTGCAGCAACCAGTCCAGGATGGGCCGAGGCTTCTGCTTATCTCGGTCTGGGTGCCGAGTGCTTGTCTGTTTTCTGACGATCATCAGGGTGGGCCAGAGTGAAGGAGCCCCCACCCAGGGAAACGTTGGTCATTATCAACAGCAGTGCAGTCCCCTAAAGGAACAGGCACAGAGGTGGTTAGGACTGGCCTCCAAAGAATGGAGCAGGTGGCGGGGCGGTTCTGACGGGAGCTCACCAGGAGACTGGACTCTGGGGCAGACAGGAGGGTGAGGACAAGGTCTGCTTAGTCCTGCCCCTAGGGTGTCAGGGCAGGAGGTGGGAAGAGGCACAGTCCTGAGAGGAGGGGCTACCTTTCCCAGATGCCCACACTCGGTTGCCCTGACCACCCCTCCTTTTTCCCATGTCTCCTCCCCATCCCACCCCCCAAACACTTAGGGAGTCAACAGACAAGAAGCCAGTCCAAAACTTATAGTAAGTCACAAATTGCTAGGCAGAGAGATTGTCTAGTTCAAGTGCTCACTACTAAAGGGAAGTGATTCACCCAAGATGGACAGAGCTAAATGCCTTAGAGAGAATTAAGACAATCACTCCTGACTTTGCATCTGGTCATCTCCAGTATACCTAGCTGCCCATGACCGCTCCCAATACCAGGTCTGCCCCCCCCCTTCTCCCAGTTTGACCTAAAACCACATCCCCGCATCATCCTTGAATTGTTCTAGCGATCTTGCCTTTTGCAGATCAAAACTCTTCTTAGTAAATCCTTGCTGACTGATTGGTGTTGATTCAACCATCTTCTGACGGAAGTGAGAGCCCCAAACTCCCTGGTCAGTACTATACTCTCCTAGGAAGGGAAGAGGCCCATTCATGTTTTTCTTTGATGGTTTAAACGATTTTCAAAGACAGGTTCTAAGAACAAAGAAACCAAGTCGAAGTGCCTTTTAGAGACAAATACTGTTCTTTCAGATTCACTCAATAAATACTTGAATGGCTACCATGTGCCCCGAACTATTCCAGGGTTGGGGAAAAATATCTCTGGTTACATGATATATCCAATGGAAAAGGGGGATTCAACTTACACAAATTCATTTTACACACAACTGAGGTTCACTCCCACGAGACTGGTCACCTGAACAGTTGAAACCGTTCTGAGTAATGTTCCCGGTAGTTTCATCCTGTCTAGGACAGCGGGCTAACCGTGGGATGCCTGTCGGCAGCAGCCCCTTTAGTCTGGAGGCAAGGATGGCACTGTGCACACTGTGGATGATGTATTTTCCATCTTGGCCAGAAAGGCAACGCTGTTGTATTGGTATTCATCAGCTTTTCCCACTGTTTCTCTCCAGCCCCAGTTCCCTCCTCCCTCCGTTATAAAGATCCCCATGGAAAGTGTCCAAATAGACCCCCAAAACGGTATCCACTGCATTGCCAGTAAGTAAAACGCATGGTGTTTCCTCCTTTCTATCCCTCCGCCTCAAGGAACGTCCATCTTGAATTCAGGGAATCCGGTGGTCTTAGATGCTAGAGGACCGCTGAGCTAGGCAGAACATGTTTCTTGGTGAAGGTTGAGATAACGGAGAGCTCAAATCCAATCTGAGTTGTCCTTTATTTTATGTATTTTTAATATATTTTTATTGATTTCAGAGAGGGAGATAGAATCATCAGAGAATCATTCAAATCAGTTATTGGCTGCCCCACATGGTGGGCGGGGGGGGGGGTGTGTAGAGATCGAGCCCACAACCCAGGCATATGTCCTGACTGGGAATCAAACGTGACCTCCTGGTTCCTAAGCTGATGCTCAACCAGTGAGCCATGCTGGCCCAGTGAGTTGTCCTTTAGTGAAATAGGTAGCATTGCACTCGGAGTGTAACTTGGTTCACAGTAGTTGGGCTTATTCTGTACATAGCAAACATCTTCTGCCCGCTGACAGGGAGGCTTCCTGGAAGGGAAGATCCTGGGGGATTCTGTTGCTGCCTTTACCCGCTCCTAGCCTCAGCTCCCTATTGGCAGACAGTCCTGTCATTGAGACAAGACAGCTTGAGATCACAACCTGGGTCCAGACCCTGTTGCTCCTAATATAGAGCTTGCCACTGACCCTGCCAGAGCTTCCCATCACACTCACCATCAGAGACTTCCTTTCCCCACTTCCCATCACCCTTTCTCGCTCTTCCCTGGTCCTCCCCATGCTCCCACCTCCTAACCCTGCTGAGCCTTCTAATGAAGGAACAACTAAACCACCCAGCCTAGCGAGGGCCCCGTAACCCTCTTGTGCAGTGTTGGCCCTGGGGCCAGAGAATAGAAAGGAGACGGAATGGGTAAGGGAAGCACTGGAAAAAGGATCTCCTCTAGTGGAGTCCTCAAATCTGCTCCGCCTCTGACATTTTACTTTTCCTGCCAGGGAAAAGATCTTCCAGTTGGAGTTACTCGTTCTGACTCTTCCTTCAGTGACTCAGAACTTGACCGAAGGTAACAGCCATGACGTGTCCTCCTTGGGTATTGGATAGGAAACTAAACAGTGGCCAGGAAGGTTGAGGGATTAGGAACTCCCAGCCTCGCCAGTGTCTCAGCAAAAGGCCTTTGTTTTGTGGTCTGCCGAGGAGAGAAAGGCTGACAGTCCGGATTAGTGGGTGTGCAATAACAAAATTGTACTCTAGACATAAAAACATGATTACAACACACAAAGGTATTCAATTTTAGGGGAGGAATTTATCATAAACCATTAGGGAAAGTGAAAATGAAAAGTAAATACTGAAAAACAGAAAACAACCTAAGAGGAAAACCAGATGTGGCTTAAGTACTGTATATTATGGAAAGCCAAGATAAGGCAACTCTAAGGTCCCAAGCATCAGGAACCCTAATACTCTGTGCAATCAAATGATAGCATGATTAGTTAGCAGTCAGGGGGGTATCAAGGAAAAAGAACTGAATATCAAAGATCAGGGGAGACAAGGACAGTCCAGAAAGCATTCAACACAAGGCAGTTCCTATCTGATCTAAATGAGAGCCGCCCATGGAGAAAGTGGGGCTCCTTGATGGCTGAAAACAAAGGAGGCTCAAAAATGGAAAAGAACAACTCAGAGGCAAACCAGTCTGTCTCAGTTAATACTAGGGAAGGCAGGGCCAGTCCTGCTTACACTGTGCCCCACACTGGACGGAAAGCCCTCAGTACTGGGTCACAGTGAAGGTGTCTGGAGGCAGATAACCCTCCACTTACACGGCACTCTCTCAAGGGTTTGAGGAAACACGTACCGGGTCTTCTGAGCTCGAAGTCAGAACTGCTATCACAGGCCCCGCTGAAAGGAATCTCGTCACCAGGACGAGCCTCCCTCGCAGCTGGCCGGGGCTGCTCCAGCCAGGAGTGTCACACGCCCCAGTATTCCCTGCCCGCCTTCTCACCCGCCTCCCCAGCAAGGCTCCTCTACCCTTTCCACTGACCTTCACAGAGAAATGTGTTAGAAGAGCAATCTGTCCGCCCTGACTTACGTTCCCTTTAAAATAGCCTACACTAAATTGAATTTCTGATTGCCCCAATTTCAGTCAGTGGAGAGGAAATTTGGACCAAGATAGGGCATTTCAAAAACGCTGTTAAATTATACAAAGCATGGGACAAATGTGGTAACTGGCAGCGGCACCTCCCAACTGCACCGGTGTTTTACCAAACCCGTGAAGGCGGAGACCACGGAGCAGCAGGAGAAAAAGTGGAGAAAAAGGCTCAGCAACATGAAATAATTTAACAAAGGTTAGCATCATAAGCTACCAAGCAGGAAGGCACGTGGACAGGGACGAACAGCACCCTGTGCCAATAATAATGGACAGCGGTGTAAGGATCGATCTGCCTTACCTGGAGCACCTGGGAATTAATACACAGGAGTCCACCAGCCACTAGAGTGAGGAAAAGGGGGAAAAGGGCATTTCAGGCATGAGAACAGACCAGAAATGCCATTTGAAAATGCACACGGAAGCACGCGCGCACACACACACACACACACACACAGGCCAAAGAACACAGTCAAACTGCAAGTGAACAGGAGGGTGAGCACAGGAGCCTGTGCGCCAAGGTGCTCAGTGCTACATCTTGAAGTAGAAAACCACGGAAAGATTAAAGTGGGGGACCACAGACAGGTTTGTGATCCAGACAGTTCGCTCTGGCAGCAATGTGAATAGGTTGAAACAGGGCAATAGCAGTGTCTGTAGCTGAAGGCCAAGCAGGTAGGATACCGCTAGTTGCTGTGATAAGATTTCATGAGACAGAACTACTTGTGTTAGAGCCCTGCTCCGGGGGATGGCACAAAAACACCAAACACTGGGTAAACCACGCTCCCTTTTCTCACTCAGCATCACCTTGCACTTCAAAATTTCCTGTCCTGCTTCACCTGCTTTCAGCTACTCTCAGAGGCCAGTGTTCATGGTGCCGCAGGTGAAGATAGAGATGGAGTCAGACTGTGACTTCACAGACATGGACATGTATGGAAGAGACGCTGTCGGCGAGACCTCCCTCTAGGAGGACACAGAGTCCCCAGAGGGGGACAGGGGGGGGGGGGCAGAGGGAGGGCATGGTTTAGTCTTTATCCTGAGGGCCTGGGCCACAACCCTGAACTTCTCAGAGCCCGTTTCCTTATTTACCCAACAGTCATTATTCCAGTTGATAAAAAACTGGGAATCGTCAATGAAAAGCACTACTTAGGTGCAAAATCTCCCCTTTCCTTTGTAGTTATGCAATAACTAAAGCAACATGTTATACGTTATTTTAAAATGCAAGTCAGCATAGAAATTATAACGTTTCTTTTGAAGAAAAAAAAAGGCTTACCTCCCAAAACTGTGGTTAAAGGTGCAACAGTCCATTTTTATTGAAAATAGGGTTTTTTGTTTTTTTTTAAGTGTCTAGATCTAGATGATTTTGAAAGAATTATTAAAATACCTGCTCTTCAGTAGAGCAAGGCTGAAAAATTCATCTTGTAATTTTTCACAATACAAGGAAACACTTCAAAGTCCTATCTTTCTACTCCATCTCGTTCCATTTGCTAAGGATCGTTCAAAAGGCCTGACCTCTCTGCATAACGGGCCTTGCTCCAGCACAGAAGTGTGACTGGGGCTTTCCCAGACCGAAAAGTCTGTTAATAAAAGAACCAACACACTGGAGAGCATAAATATTTTTAAAATAGAGTAAAACCTCAAACCACGTTAAATCAACAAAATGATCCTCTGAATTAACATCACTGGTTTTTCATGCCCAGAATCGAATGTCAGGACTCGTGGGTAGGTCCTTCCTGCAAGTTTTCAATGGCCCCATCCCAAAGTCAAACTCCCATTCACATCAACATTGCAGTTGGGCAGAGCTGATGTCAAATTTGGAAAGATTATAACTTTGTAATATGAGACTAATGCTTTCAAGGAATGATTGGAAGCAAGTTGGGTGGATTAAAACCCATCATTAATGAAGCAAATCCTTTCCTCAAGGAACAAGATCAGTCTTTATCTTTAATCCATGTTTAGCCAACACCAACCAAGTTTTCATTTAACAACTACTATGTGCCTAATAGCCACAATGCACCTGACTTAAAACAACTAGGATTTGAATCTTTGAGTAAATCACTTTGGTTACATTTATTCAAGGTGACAAATGCAGGTGCTCTTTCTTTATTCCTACTTTTTAGACAAATGACACTAGATTGTTAACAACTTGAGTCAACAGAACAGTTAAAGGTTTCTGTAATTCCTAAAGCCTCGTAGTGACTGGCCCACAGAAAGCTCTTACTTGTTTATTAAATTAAATCTCAGAGCTCCCTTCCAGGGGATACTGCCAAGAGGTAAAACTCTAAACCTGTTACTTCTATAGCAGCTGAATTACTTCGCTGCCCACTAATCTAGAAGCATCACCTGAGTTTAAGTATAAAGTCTTTATCTTCATCTGTACCTATCCTTGGGGAGCTAACAACCTACCCTTAACATCTCACTGTTAAAACTTGGCTGATTTTTAGTAGCACTTTGTCCAAATTGAATTGTAGAAATGTTATGGATTCAGGAGTAAATGTGCTGGATTAATCAAACAAACTGAAAAACCACAATGTTAATTTTTTTGTTCTGTAAATTGATCAGTGTAATTTTCACCTCATATGTCATTTATATTTTGTATATACACTAACATTTTAACATTTTAGCTTTGAACAGGGTGACATGTTACTTCTCCGTTCGGGTCAGTCCATTTTCCCGCTGTAACTGCAGTTCAATAAAATGTAATCCTGTCTGCTCACCTTCCTCCGTGTTTAATAATTTAGGTAAGTCAGCAGGCATGGTTTATGGACACCAGCTACTCTCACTTACAAAAAAAACATCTCTAACAAACTAGCATCTTCTTTCATCTCCAGAAAATCATCAAAAGAATCAAGGCAGCTGGCAGAGGAACAGGAGGGAATAGGTCAAATCCCCATTGTTCTCCCTTCTCCATCTGCCTCGAGCTGCCTGGAGCCACAGCTGCTTTTGCCTGCGAGAGAGCCAGAATTCCCAGTCCTGGTGGACCTATTCTAGCCACAAAACGTGCACCAATACCTTCCAATCTGTCATCAGTTACACATACACACACACACACACACACACACACACACACACACACATGATGAGCAAGAGAGGAGAAACTTGGGAAGCACATCAAGTTGTTTGTAAATGGAACAATGTGTAAAATGAATGCATGATTTAGAAAATACTCAGAACAACATTAACCACTTACGTGAATCTCACCGATTAAGATCCCGGCTCGGCATAACCTGTTGGAGGTTAAATGGACGAGGCAAGTCTCTCCACACTCTTTAAACCACTTTGTGTAAGGCACGGGAGTGAGTGTTACCACTTACAGAAATAGCTGGATCGATTATAGCCAATGAGGACACTGTGGTTAGGTCACAACTAAGACAATACAGTAGCAGTTAGATACAGTATTTCAGAAACTCATTTCATACTAGTCAGTGTTTTATTTTAAAAAAATAAAATAAAATAAAACAAAAAACTTAATCAGAAAGTCTGATTAAATTCAATATTAATTCAAGCTCTCAAAAACCTATCGGGGAAAGCCAATAGGTACATCAGAGAAAGCAGGCAGCAGGCTGGCAATTCTTTGGTGGAAAAGGCAATTGCATACTTATACAACCGCCCTCATGATGATCAAGCCAAGTTTTGTTATTCAAAAATAGGTTTCAAGATCTACTGAAGAAACCATACAGACCTCCCAAACAGTACAAAAAAATTAACAATTAAGGAAATAGGAAAAACCAAATATGACAATACATGTGAATTACTTATAAAATAAGCCTTGGACCCCAGAAAACCAAAAGGGGACCTCATGAATGGGACCACGCATAAAATAAAGGCTAATAGCACACAGACATTTTCCCAATGACTAATGTAGCTTTAAAGCGACAGGACACTATTAACGGGTAGCTTTTCTTCTGGTTATCAGTCAGTATAAAATTAGGGTACATTTTTTCTCCTCAAATTACTATCATTTCTTTTTTTGTACTGTTTCCCTAATTTTTTCTAGCAACATTTTTCCTTTGGTTTGACCAGTTGAGCTCAAAAGGTTTGGAACCTAAAGTGAGCATCAACCCTTATTGGAATAGCACTTGGGAAATGCAATCCTGGAGAAGGCAATCTGTAACTGAAGGTCTGACAGAGCAGAGCAGCCCTTCTCTATTGAGTGTCCACCCGCATGCCACCACCAGGCTAACGGCTCCTCTCCTGGCCCGATCACATGACCCAGCATGATAATGGCATGGTCCCTGGTGAGGTGCTGGGGAGAGCTATGTGCACAAGCACCCATACATGTGAGCTTTCAATAAATACAAAGCACTGTTTAAAACCCTGTCAGCAGAATAAATAAGAGATGCTGCATTCCTATTGGCCTGTTTTGCCTCTTGAGCTGGCGTGGAGCACTGTTCATGACCCGGAAGACACAGAGTTAATTAGTTGCCACTCCAAGCTCTTTAGACCTCAGTACCACCTGCTCTTCCAGCCTCAGCACCTTTTTGGCAGCGATAATGGTATTCTTCATTAGCATCGCCACTGTCATGGGACCAACGCCCCCAGGGACCGGAGTGATGTAACCGGCTTTTTTCCGGACTTCTGTGTAGAAGAAACAAGACAGCAGACTGCTTTAGTTATGACAAAGCACATGTGTGTATTTTAACATAACATGGGAAGCATTGGGGGGGAAAAAAGCAATAATATACATAAGCACCTTCATAAACCTCAAACTCGTATTAATCACATCTAATTACTCAAGAATAAAGGCTTTTGAACATACTAACAAAATAACATGTACATGCTAAGCAAAGTTGTTCAAGGAATATTTATAAATCTAAATCACCTATAATCTACCAGCCACACTTTCCTCCATAGCAAGTCTACTTAAAAAGAAACATCTCGCCGAAACCGTTTTGGCTCAATGGATAGAGCGTCGGCCTGCGGACTGGAAGGTCCTGGGTTCGATTCCGGTCAAAGGCATGTACCTTGGTTGCGGGCACATCCCCAGTGGGAGGTGTGCAGGAGGCAGTTAGTCGATGTTTCTCTACCATTGATATTTCTAACTCTCTATCCCTCTCTCTTCCTCTCTATAAAAAATCAATAAAATATATTAAAACAAAACAAAACAAAAAAACGAAACATCTCAGTAGATTGACTGTATGGGTGGTCTACTATAAGCATTACCTCAATTAATACCTGCCTACAACATTTTCTTTCTTTCTTTCTTTCTTTTTTTAAATAGATTTTTATTAATTTCAGAGAGGAGAGAGAAACATTTTTTTTTTTAAATATATATTTTTATTGATTTACAGAGAAGAAGGAAGAGGGATAGAGAGCTAGAAACGTCAATGAGAGAGAAACATCGACCAACTGCCTCCTGCACACTCCATGCCGGGGACGTGCCCGCAACCAAGGTACATGCCCTTGACCGGAATCCAACCTGGGACCTTTCAGTCCACAGACCGATGCTCTATCCACTGAGCCAAACTGGTTTTGGCAACATTTTCTTAATTTTATATGCTATATTTATTCATACTGCTTGCCCAAAATACCAAGCAGAGCAATTTTCTGGAAAGAAACAACATTTTTAAATCCAATCTTTTAAAATTGATTTTAGAGAGAGGAAGGGGGAGAGACAGAGAAACATTTATTTGCTGTTCCACTTATTTATGCATTCACTGGTTGCTTCTTGTATGTGCCCTGACCAGAGACTGAACCTGCAACTTTGGTGAATCGGGACTATGCTCTAACCCAGGAGTTAACTGGTGGTCCGTGAGGTCCGAAAGGTGGGCGACCACTGCTCTAACCAACTGGTGAGCACCTGGCCAGGTCTTTAACTCAATCTTAAAGAAAAAAACACTTGGTTACCTAGGCTTGGGTCTGACTGCTTTAATAGAAATATCAGCGTAAAATTCAGATAAACATAATGCCTTATGAACTGAAAGGAAACACCTACAGTACTAGGAAGTGCCAAATTTTCAAGAACATGGCTTTTTCCTGGACTGTTTTAACATTCCAGGGCTGGGATCTCCTCTTAAAATGAGAAATCTGTAACAGTTTTTAGGAGACTCAATGGTTTAGGGCAGTGGTCGGCAAACTCATTAGTAAACAGAGCCAAATATCAACAGTACAATGATTGAAATTTCTTGAGAGCCAAATTTTTTAAACTTAAACTTCTTCTAACACCAATTCTTCAAAATAGACTCGCTCAGGCCGTGGTATTTTTGTGGAAGAGCCTACTTTAATTAGGGGCCAGAAAGCCAAAGTTTGCTGCCCACAGGTTTAGGGAAATCACTTCATTAAATTTTCAGACTTGTTAAAAGTCTTAAAGATGGCCGAGATCAGTTTGGCTCAATGGATAGAGCGTCGGCTTGGGAACTGAAGGGTCCCGGGTTCGATTCCAGTCAAGGGCATGTACCTTGGTTGCGGGCATATCCCCAGTAAGGGGTGTGCAAGAGGCAGCTGATCGATGACTCTCTCTCATCGATGTTTCTAACTCTATCTCTCTCCCTCTCTGTACAAAATCGATAAAAATAAAAATAATTAAAATAAAGTCTTAAAGATGTTTTAATTATGAAATAACACTAAGGAAAAACAATTCCCTGAAAAGTTTATACCTGCTGTCCATAATGTTATGATATAAACAACTAAAATAATTCTAGAATGTCTATAACTTTTTTTTAATATATATTTTATTGATTTTTCTTACAGAGAGGAAGGGAGAGATAGAGAGCTAGAAACGTCGATGAGAGAGAGTCATCGACCAGCTGCCTCTTGCACACCCCCTACCCTGGATGTGCCCGCAACCGGAATCGAACCCGGGACCTTTCAGTCCGCAGACAGACGCTCTACTGCTGAGCCAAACTGGTTTTGGCTAGAATGTCTATAACTTTAAAAAACATCTCTTAATTCCTGATGAAAGCCTTTTAAATGGTATTACCAGAGTAACATGAGCTTAAAACTTATATGAAAATGATTAGTCCTAAAGGCCCACTAATGGTGGTAGTTATTGATTTTACATATTTTTTAAAATTATACTATTTACCTTCAAAATCCACATCTCCAACCAACTTGGGTTTAGCAGTGACGGGATCCTGAATTCTATTTATTCCCACGTCAATGACGGCTGCTCCTTCCTTGATCATATCTGCTGTGATCAAATTTGGAATGCCTGGGGAAATGGAAACAGGAATGATCGATCACCTTACTGAAACATCGGAAATCGCCTGTCAGATTCTTATCTAATTTCAATTTCAAGAGACCTGGAAGAACTAGTTAGCTTGTTTTATAAATACCTACAAGAACCATTCACCAAGGAAACGTTTAAACTTCCTGGAGTAAATAGAAATCCTCTGAGACTATAGAAATAACTTTCATCCCATCAAGTCCATGATGAAATGACAGAAACCACTATACCAAGCACAACTCTTTCCTCATCTTTGCAGGCGGCTCGTGGTGTCATCCTGGGGCACTAATGAAAGGAATGGCAGTGGAGCAGGCAAGTTCTAAGACAAGAGGTCCATCTGTGGATGTCCTTCCGTCCCCTTCCCTGGTGCTCTTACCTGCAGCAGAGATCACAATATCTGCAAGAATGGTATGTTTCTTCAGCTGCTCTTTGGGGGTGTATCTGTGAGATATTGTAACAGTGGCATCACCTATGAATTAAAAAGTAAATGTCTTGATTTCTGAATCAAAGCTGGGATTGGAGGAGGTGTCAACTAGGCAAACCATTGCAGA